CCCAGGTCCACATCTGTGGGAAAAAAAAATATTGCATGCCATTCCAGTTATACAAGGATCAAGTCATTAGTTGCCTTTGGGGAATTCAGGGTGGAGGAAAGCAGGAAGCATTCTGTGCTTTGGATATCAGCCCCTAGATAGTTAAGAAACTTATCTATGGAAAATTTTCAGAGACCCCAGATTCTTGCATCTTCCCATACATAAAAAACACTAAAATCATTAATCTAAGATGTCTGCTCTTTGTGATTAGCAGTAATATTTTTTATGTCCAACTACATAATTTTTCCCCAGCAGACAAATTCATATATATCTTGGCTCCTCTCCTACCTTTTGGGAACAATTTCTCAGATCTACGTGAGGTACTAGGACACTGCATAAACACAACGCACAGCTCTTACGCTGTGTGTGTTTTTTTAAAAAATTGATATCTATAACCACTACTCAGACTATTTCTTATCCATTGTTGTAACCTGAGTACAGAGCCGAGCCAGTAGAGTTGATGATAAGTAATTTTTGTTGATCTCCCTAATAGTCCATTTTGCTTACTCATTCAATAAATATTAGGTTCCTCTTTCTAAGAGTGCCTGCAAGAATTAATTCAAGATGATCAACTGAAAATATTGTTTAATTCACTAATTCACGCTTCCTGAGCACTGATTGTATGTCCAGGCCCTGAGAATAGTGCTGGAGACAGGGAATGAGGACAGAGCCTCCGCCCCGTAAGAAGGCACAGACTTGGGGAGAAGAGTTCACAAGCTCGTGAGAAGGAAGGGAGGAGGAGGAGAGAAAGGTAGATCTTCACTTATTCATTACTCGGTTCCTGGAAGCTTCATGAAGTTATCTGCCTTCTCCTAAAAAGAATTCTAGCCAAAATCTACTTTCTCAAGTGATGTTTCTGAGAACCATGTGCTGGAAACTTCTTACAGATACTGAAGAGAGCTACCATGGAAGCTGACATGGTTCTAAGGGTTCAGGACTGAGGCTTGTGGGTTGGAAGACAAAAGCTTGGCTCTTGACCAGAAAACAGTTCCCTGGGCCGCCTCCAGAGCAAAGGGCTCATGTTGCCATCTGCTGGCTATGGAGAAGATGGACCTGTGCCCAGCCTGTTTATAGGAGCTGGGAATGGCAGACCGGGAGGGGTGGAAACTTGTCACAGCCTGTTTAGTTTAGAGGTGAGGAAACTAACAAAAAGGTCACAGTCAGTCTGTGTTGTAGTCTGGGGCCAGAAAGCAAGTTCAAGATTCCTGCAGAGCCTGATGCCTGCTCCTCTGGATTCAGAAACATGAAATGTAAAATCCCTCATTTGCACTTTGGTCTTTTCCTGGTTCTTCCTCTTCCTCTTCTGATCAGTCCTTGGGGAAATCATTTCACTTCCAGTAACAGACTACCCTCCCCCTGTCTACCTCCTCCAGTCTTGCTTTGGCTTGGTGGCAAGCCAGTAAAATAAAGTAAAAGACGTTTTTGAAGTTTTGGAGGATGAAAGGTTGTGGGTGAACCCAGCACCCAGCTTTTCACTGGAGGGCTTTCCCTGAGAGGTGCTGGTAAAGTTGATGGAAAGGAGGAGGCGTGTGCTGGGGGTTGGGAGGACAACACCTCGCTTCCAGTCCAGCACAACATCTGCAGAGCAGACCCCCAGCTGCTGGGCTTACCTCTCCAACAAGCTCCATGTCAGACATCCCTCTGCTACAGGCCAGCGTTGCTCACGCTTGTCTCTGTGCACCTGCTCTCTCTAACACACTCACCTATCTTCACCCGCATTTGCCCTCTGCCCTCCTCTGGAAGGGACAGGTAATCAAAATGACTTTGTGTCAGAGGCAGTTGAGCTAAGCCTTCAGAGGCATCTGGATTTTTGTGCTCCTGTCTCCACAACAAACTGGAAAATTCTTCAAGAGGTGGGACCATCACATCTGCCTCCTGAGACATCTGTATGCAGGTCAAGAAACAACAGCTAGAACTGGGCATGGAAGAACAGACTGGTTCCAAATAGGAAAAGGAGTATGTCAAGGCTGTATATTGTGACCCTGCTTATTTAACTTATATGCAGAGTACATCATGAGAAATGCTGGGTTGGAAGAATCACTAGCTGGAATCAAGGTTGCCAGGAGAAATATAAATAACCTCAGATATGCAGATGATACCACCCTTATGGCAGAAAGCAAAGAGGAACTTAAGAGCCTCTCGACGGTGAAAGAAGAAAGTGAAAAAGCTGGCTTAAAATTCAGCATTCAAAAAACAAAGATCATGGAATCCAGTCCCATCACTTCATGGCAAATAGATGGGGAAACAATAGAAACAGTGTGAGATTTTATTTTCTTGGGTTCCAAAATCACTGCGGATGGTGATTGTAGCCATGAAATTGCTTGCTCCTTGGAAGAAAAGCTATGACAGACCTAAAAAGTGAAAGTGAAGGGCAAGTCACTCAGTCATGTCCGACTCTTTGCGACCCCATGGACTACACAATCCATGGAATTCTCTAGGCCAGAATACTTGAGTGTGTAGCCTATCCCTTCTCCAGTGATGACAGACCTAAGACAGCATATTAAAAAACAGAGACATTACTTTGCTGACTAAAGTCCGTGTAGTCAAAGCTGATTTTTCCAGTAGTCATGTATGGATGTAAGAGTTGGATCACAAAGAAGGCTGAGCGCTGAAGAATTGATGCTTTTGAACTGTGGTGTTGGAGAAGACTTTTGAGAGTCCCTTGGACTGCAAGGAGATCAAACAAGTCCATCGTAAAGGAAATCTGTCCTGAATATTCATTGGAAGGACTGATGCTCAAGTTGAAGCTCCAATACTTTGGCCACCCAATATGAAGAACTGACTCATTAGAAAAGACCCTGATGCTGGGAAAGACTGAGGGCAGGAGGAAAAGGGGATGACAGAGGATGAGATGGTTGGACGGCATCACCGACTCAATGGACATGAGTTCGAGCAAACTCCGGGAGATGGTGAAGGACAGGGAAGCCTGGTGTGCTGCGGTCCGTGGGGTCCCAAAGAGTCAGACACGACTGAGTGAATGAACAACAACAACTCTCTCCACCGTGCTGTTTACTGTGAACACGCCTGTAGTGTAACTACAGTGAAATACACTTCTCTGGCGACTCAGGCATTGAAGAGTCTGTCTGCAGTGAGGAGATCTGGATTCAATCCCAGGGTTGGGAAGATCCCCTGGAGAAGGGAATGGCAACCTGTTCTAATATTCTTGCTTGGAAAATTCCATGGACAGATAAGCCTGGTGGACTACAGTCCATGGGGTTGCAAAGAGTCAGACTTGACTAAGCGACTAACATGGGCTAAGTGAGTTTGACTTGTATGTCTGTTTCCTCTACTGGATGTATGAGCTCACCAAGACCAAGAATTGTGTCTTCTACATCTTTGTATTTTAATCTCTGATATTTAATCTATGCCCAAATGCACAGTGATTAGTAAAAAAAAAATGTTAGCTGGATGAGTATATAAGTGAGTGATTAAGACGAATGATACACAAAATAATGGAGGTGGTAAGAAAGCACATGGGACGCTTCACCATCTGAGCCGTCAGGGAGCCCTAAGAATGCAACAGTCGACTACAAATTGGCGCTTGCCAGGAGCATTTGCCAGCAAGTGAACAGCAACAACAGGGGCATTTGCCATCGGCCTGTGCTACTGCATCCGCTGACCTTCAACACCCCCTGAAGGGAATACAGGGTAGAGAGTGCTCCAGAGAAACTGGTGGAACAGGTCTTTAGATAGGTATTTTCGGGAACTGATTTCATGATCCCAGTCCTTGTAGCTCCTATCTAGGAAAGCACTAAATCCTTCATGGTGACATTAGCTCCTCGTGACTAGCAGAAAACCTCGTTTAAAGTAAGCGCTTCATTGCACTGCACTCCCCTTCGCCAAAATCCTATATGTGACTCCTCCACTGCTGCTTCGGAGCAGGGCCCCAGAGCTACCTGAGGAGCCGCCTTTCAGGCTGCAGTTCTCATTTTCCCTAAATGACACTTGGCTCTCAACTCTCACGTTCTGCCTCTGTTAGTTGACACAACTTTCAAGATGACAGCTCTGAACAAGACAATATTTACATGAAGCTTAATATTTGATGCATTAATTTAAAAACAGTCATGTCTGATACTAATTTTTTTCACTCATATAGCATGTTATGATTTTCAATGTCTTTTCATCTTTACTGTCCTGCTTGATACTCACGTGCTGAAATAGGGAGGCTAGGTGATGAGCCCCAGGAATAAAGTATGCTTAAAGAGAGCTTATGTTGGAACGTCATGCTCTGACCTACCAGGCTGCTGTCCTTTTCATCAGGCCAGGGCCCAGGCCTCTGTGGCTAAACTGCTAGTACCAACTGGCATTATCCAACCTCCTTATGTGGTTATAATTCAGTTATATCACCAGGAGGAAAAACCACGGCTTTGCCTCTTGCATTAAAGGACAGTGAAACGTTAGCCTGTTAAAAGAAGGCTCATGTGCCACACTGCCTTTGGAAACCACTATGGGAATTTGAGGTGTCCATTAAAGTCAGACATGAAAAACCTCCTTCTAGGATCGAAAGGTGAATGGAGTCAACAAATCTCCTCCGGCACCTGGGTTTGTGAAATGAACCAACAGGACGGAACAGCAGCAACGCAGGGAGCAGCTGGATCTCCTTGTGCTCCAGGGGCAGCGTCAGAGCACAGAGTGCCCAGCAATTGCTCTGTCTGCCAGAGAGACAGTGACTGCAGACGGCTTCTCCAGCATCTGGGAAATGAAGCTACATGCTATTACTCTGCTAAATACAGAAATATGTCAACTCTAAGCATGGAAAGACACCCACCTCAAAATTGCTAATATTTCGATTTTGAAAAATTTATTTCCACAGATACTTGATGCATGCAGTCAGAGGGGCTTTGGAGGCTGCAGTCAGGCACAACAAAGACATGTCTTTTCAAATTTTGACCTTACAGACCATGAAGAAAAGTCACTATTTTTAATCCTGGGCAACATACAAAATACATAACAACTGGACATTTAAAAATAACCATTTTCAGTTTAATAGATTATATATAAGCCTATCCTATCTGTCACAAAATGTATCATTTTGTTAGTAAAATTTTTCAATCTGATACAATTCTGCATGGGCTGAAAATAAACAAGATAAGCTAAAACAGCATTAAAGGCAAAGAGAATTTGTGCAAAGCTAGAAGAAAGGAAAGCATGACACTGCCAACCCTCTCTGACCCTCCAGACAAAGGAGAAGCCAGAGGTCTGGTTCTGTGTCTGAACAGAAGGGAGCATGCAGGAACTCGGAAGATGCTGCCTATACAGAAAGGTTAATAATGGATAATGACAAGAGAATGAGTCATTAAAATCTTTGTTCTCTTTCATGAAAGGTTAGAAAGGATTGTCCAGAATATTAACTTTCATCAGGAATTTGTTTTTCTGAATATCCTGCATATTTACCTTGCCTGATACAACTTTTTCCCATGATGGGAGATTCAAGAGTGTTTGGAGCCATTGGTCTTCTGTTAACTCAGAGTTTGAGTACCACCATTCCTGAGAGGAGAAAAAGAGAGAACATGGAATTCATCACTGCTCCTCAGCTTGAGTGGTCAAGAGTGGTCTAATAGCAGAAATGGTCAAATGTACCTGAGCTTTTAAAATGAACAGTGACTTTTGCTACCCAAACTAGGATAACTCTAACATATAGAGGAGAAAATTCACTTACTTATTCGAGAAATGCTGAGTATAAGGCACTGTGTTGGAGACTAAATGATTTGTGTTGTGATTGTTCACATTCTCGGGGACAGGCAAGACAGGCACATGAGCACAGCACAGAGTGGAAAGTGGTGAGAGCTGTGGGAAGGTGGTGGTGGTGTTCAGTCTCAGTTGTGTCTGACTCTTGGCAACCCCACGGACTGCTGCCTGCAGGGTCCTCTGTACACGGGATTTTCTAGGCAAGAATACTGGCGTTGCCATTTCCTCTTGCCAGAGATCTCCTGACCCAGGGGTCAAACCCATGTCTCTTGTGTTTCCTGAATTGGCAGGCAGATTCTTTACCAATGAGCCAACTGGGAAGCCCCATGAGAAGGTAGAGATCTTGCTGAAGGGGATTGGAAGGAGGGGAGGATCCCATGAGAACTCAAAGGGGGAGAGGAGGTGCAAATGCCAAACCTATGGATATGTCATCCCTTTCAGTAAGAGTGCAGAAAAGCCTCTGATGGCTTTCCACACCCAGTGAAATCCAAAGCAGGTAGTGGGCTTCTTGGGTTCCTTAACATCCCCTGTGAGCATCTTCCCCAGCTTGCTAGCTGATGCTACATACTTTGCTCATGTTCAGCCAGCATTTCTCCAGCACATTCCCTTGAGTTTCACAGAGCTGTAAAGCTGTGTTCAGGAAGAGGTCACAATTCTGCCCCTCTCCCATTAGTATACAGACATAGGCCATCAGATGGTAGAGCCTCGGGTAGAAGACAGGCCCAGTGGTGTTCTGAGCCACCAGATTCTCCAAGTTCTAAAGGAAAAAGCAACACAGTGGAATCAGAAAGGGATCCTTGACTGAAAGGATTTTTCCATCTCAGATGATTTGGGATCATTTCAAAGGTATAAGCAATCAAGTAAAAAAGCACCTTACAGAAACATACAAAGAAAGTAGTGGAGATTAGATGATAAAAGTCAAGTAGAGTGGCCCCAGTGGCCTACCCCAACCAAGAATGTGATATGGGTCTGCTCATTAACCCTTTTTGGCAACCATTCTTAAAAAACAAAACTGAGTCCCTCTGAAACTCAGTTCCCCTGCTGAGTTTATGATTTACTTCTTTACCCAAAACTTTATTCTCTTTCTTGTCTTGCCCCATTCCCCTCAAGACTTTGACTTGAGGAGTATCGAAGAAAGCAGGAGGCTGAAACTGGGTGAACTCTGCAGGGCCCTCCCAGGTACAAAAGCCCTCCCATGTCCCCTGTTTCATGTTTGTAGAAAAAGGCTTCAGCCTCCTAGCTCTTCCCTGAGTTCCAAAGGGCAGATTCAAGCAGTTACTAATTAGGGAAGAAGGGCAATATAGGAAAAAACCAGTCAAGAAACTACAGTTCAGTGGTAAAAACAGAGTCTGAGCTCTTCCCCAAGGAAAATACATGACAATCCAATACATATCTTTGAGTTCTTCTGCAGGAACTAAGACCCTCACCCAGCTACAGGATGCTGACTCCATGCTGACTGTAAAACAGACCCCAGACTGGTTAGAACCAGAAGTTTGATGATTAAGATTCGTGAAACACCACCCGGTTACCTCACCACCAGCCAATCAGAATAAAGTCATGTACACTGCAGCCCTCACTCCAAATGTTGCCTTTAAAAACGTTTCCTTGAAAGTCATTGGGGAGTTTGGGTTTTTTGAATATGAGCCACCCATTCTCATTGCTGGGCCTGACAATAAACACTGTACTTTCCTTCACCATTACCTGATGTCAGTAAATTGACTTTGCTATGTGGCCAGCAAGCAGACCCAAGTTCAGTTCAGTAACAATAGCAACATTTTCTTTTGCTTACCAAAGCAATATAATTTTTAAAAATTAGAAAATTATACCTTAACTGAAAAAAAGAATGTAAACACTGAAAAGGGGGAAAAAAAGGGGAAAAACAAACAGCACAGAATTAAAAAAAAAAAAAAGGATAGAAAAAAAAATCACTCATAACCCTAACACCTAAAAAAAATTATTTTGACATTTGGATACACACTTTGACATTTGGATACACATGTTTATTTCTTTGCTGTGGACAGGGAATGTTGCCCACCATCCCAGTTCTACAAGAATCAAACCATTAGTCACTGCAGCCACCCACCAATGGTGTGCCTGAGAAAAACAGGAAGGGTCCTGTGCTTTGGATAGTTAAGATGCATATCTAAGGAATAATTTCAATGAATCCAAATCCTTGCATCTTCTATACAAAGAAAAGTGTTAAAATCATTAAACTGTGATGTCATTCTTTGTTATTAGCAGTAATCTTTTGATGTTTTTCCCAGGAAAAACTCCTATATATACTGCCCCCTTCCTTACTTCCTCAGAGCAGTTACTCAAAAGCTATCTGTGAGGCTGTCCTCCAAGCTACAGCTATAATCCTCAGAAAGAACCCTAAACAAAATCTAACTTGCACCGTCAGTTGGCACTATCTCACACACACACACACACACACACACACACACACTCATACTCACCACAACTGGTATCATACTAAACAGCAATTCAAAATATTTTTTTCTCATTTAGCACAACATTATGAATCTTTTCCAATGACATGATTCTTTAACATCAGATCTCACAAATCCAAATGCAGACAGAGTTAAGTAAGAAACATAAATAAGAGATAAGATAAGAAGCAAGGAGATTATGTCATGCTGGAGAGAGTATGACCTAAATGCCACCCTTCATCAGCTCCAGCCAATAGCTGCCACTTAGAATTGGGGCTTAGAGTCACCAGATACTGCAATTTTTAAAAGAAGAGTCAGAAATTCAGATTTTTAATGTGAAAATGTCTTAATGTTTAAATATACCATTTCTGACTAATATATATATATATATGTATATATATATATTTTTCAGTTGTGTCCAGTGCTTTTGTGAACCCATGGACTGTAGCCTGCCAGGCTCCTCTTTCCGTTGGACTTCCCTGGCAAGAATGATGGAGTGGGTTGCCATTTCCTCCTGCAGAGATAACCAACATTTTGAAAGGCATATCACTTTTCTCCCCCTAGTTTTTTAATACTATAAATCTGAGATCAACATCTTTATATATATAATTTTTATTTACCATCTGATTATCTCCTTAGGGTCATTCTTAGGAGGAGAATTAAATGATATGCATATTTTAAAGATATTTATGCATTTTGCCAGAATGTTGTCTAGAAAGTTTATGAGAGTCCTTCAGAGTATTAATGTCTTCTCTGTTGTCTGCTAATTTGACAATCAACAAGACAATGTCTTATTCTTTTATTTCATTTACTTCAATATCCTTGAAAGCAGAAGAACCAGAGATCAAATTGCCAACATCTGTTGGATCATAGAAAAAACAAGGGAATTCCAGAAAATTCTACTTCTGCTTCATTGACTAAAGCCTTTGATCATGTGGATCACAACAAACTGGAAAATTCTTCAAGAGATGGGGATACAAGACCACCTGCCTCCTGAGAAACCTGTATGCAGGTCAAGAAGCAACAGGTAGAACTGGACATGGAACAATGAACTGGTTCAAAATTTGGAAAGGAGTACATCAAGGCTGTATATTGTCACCCTGCTTATTTAATCTATATGCAGAGTACATCATGCGAAATGCCAGGTTAGATGAATCACAAGCTGGAATCAAGATTGCTGTGAGAAATATCAATAACCTCAGATATGCAGATGACACCACCCTAATGGCAGAAAATAAAGAGGAACTAAAGAGCCTCTTGAGGAAGGTGAAAGAGGAGAATGAAAAAGCTGGCTTAAAACTCAACATTCAAAGAACTAAGATCATGGCATCCAGTCCCATCACTTCATGGCAAATAGCTGGAGAAAAATGAAAACAGTGCAGACTTTATTTTCTTGGGCTCCAAAATTACTGGGGACAGAGCTTTCAGGCTTGAAGTTAAAAGACACTTGCTCCTTGGAAGAAAATCAATGACAAACATAGACAGCATGTTAAAAAGCAGAGATAAAAAGCAGTCTGGAGCAGACTGGCTCCAGAATTAATGGCTGAAATGATAAGACTGTGTAGTCAAAGGTCTGTATAGTCAAAGCTAGGATTTTTCCAGTAGTCATGTACAGATATGAGAGTTGGACCGTAAGAAGGCTGAGTACCAAAGAACTGCTACTTTCAAACTGTGGTGTTGGAGAAGACTCTTGAGAGTCCCTTGGACAGCAAGGAGATCAAACCAATCAATCCTAAAGGAAATCAGTCCTGAATGTTCATTGGAAGGATCAATGCTGAAGCTGAAGCTTTACTCTGGCTACCTAATGGGAAGAGCTGACCCATTGGAAAAGACCGTGGTGCTGGGAAAGACTAAAAGCAGGAGGGGAAGGGGACGACAGAGAATGAGACGGTTGGATGGCATCACCGATTCAGTGGACATGAGTCTGAGCAAAGTGCAGGAGATAGTGAAGGACAGGGAGGCCTGGCGTGCTGCAGTCCATGGGGTCACAGAGTCAGACACGACTGAATAACAACAGCAACAAACTTCAATATCATAGAAATGGATTGAAACATAGAGTTTTCCTGACTAAACTGTTACATGTTTTCATCCATCAATTATGTATTCAAGAAATTAAGCATCTCCTGTGTGTAATCAACCCTATGGGACATTCCCAGAACAAACCATTCACACCACATCCTCTGCCTTCACTGGTTTGTAGAAAAGCTATATAGTCTGTCTCCCAGGCCTCCAGTGAGCCACAGAAGACCGGCTCCAGAATTAATGGCTGAAAGGATATGACTGTGTAGTGACAAGAATAGCAGTTAGGCCAGGAGAATTGACAACAATTTAAACAGTACATCAGCCATACGGCAGCCACAGACTCTTTAGTTCCTCCCTGAAGTAACTAGATAACAGGACCTGTTATACATTTCCTGAGTTGTTTTATAGATGCTGAAACTCCCACCAGATGGAAGAAGTTAACTACGTAATGACCACAAGATGTAGCCCCCAGACCTACCGGAACCTGAGGATTGATCATGTTAACCTCTGTGACATTGCTCCGCCTCCTCACCATCAACCAATCAGAGAACTGTGCTTGAGCCAATCACATGCCCTGTGACTTCTCTGCTTCTTGCCTTTAGAAATGCTTCCTTGAAACCTATTGGGGAGTTCAGGTTTTTTGAGTTCTAGCGGCCCTGGACTCCTCATCTGGCACCTTACAGTAAAGGCTGCACCTTTCCCCACCATAACCCAGTATCACTAGACTGGCTTTACTGGACTTGAGAGAATGAACCCAAGTTTGGTTCAGTAACATATGTAAAAGGTATTGCTCTATGTTCGGCGGGAAATACCAAGTTTGATTTTGTGTTCTTTTGGGCTCCTTTATTCTTTCTAGTCCCCACCTCTACAACTCCCTCCCATTCCTGGGCTTCCCACCTCCATCACCTTGAAATTGCAAACTCCTGAAGTACAAAGACAATGCTTTACTCATCTTTGCTGCAATCCCAATAGCAACTATCGTGTTTTTAGCCTGTTTTGTCTTTGGGATGGGATTCCCAGGTGACTCAGTGGTTAAGAATCTGCCTGCCAACACAGGAGATGCAAGAGATGCGGGTTTGATCCCTGGCTTGGGAAGATCTCCTGCAGGAGGGCATGGCAGTATTCTCCAGTATTCTTGCCTGGAGAATCCCATGGACAGAGGAGCCTGGCAGACAACAGTCCATGGGGTCACAGAGAGTCAGATGTGACTGATGTGCCTGAGCACAAGCAGGTGCATGATTCATAAATATATCTTGTTTAGTAGTAAGTTTTAAAAAATGGAAATGCATGCACATACATAGAGAAAAGTTTGGAAAGTGATTTCTCAATATGCATAAAGTGGTTATCTCTGAGTAGTAAGGTAAGTAAGGCAATTCATGTTTTGGGATAGAATTACCTTCAAAAACTTACCCTACAGATAGGTATAACTTCTGCAATCAGAGAAAGTAATTATCACAGAAGGTAGAGAAAAAAACCATTTAAGGTATGAATTACCCTGGAAACCAGAGAAGAGGCCTCACCTTGAGTAGGTCAACTCCACTGTCTTGAGCATTCTCTGATTGTTCTTCAATTTGCTTTTGAAGGTAGAGAACTTGTCCTTCCATGTACCTACTGATGCTTATGCAGTAAAGAGCTGTTGGGGTTCTTCTTGACACAAGATTTTTGGCTCTATTGGAAAATACGTGAAAGCTGTTCCATTCCTGAAGTCTGGCATACCTATTTTACCACAGAAGAATAAGAAAGATCCATATCACCCTTAGAATGGGCTGGTTTTCTGAAATGGTCTCTCTAGAGGCCAGAATGTGGGTCTCTGGAAGCCTGCCACTGGCCTATTCAGGGGAAATTATCTGATATGGAGCAAGGACAGAATAGAACTTTTTTGATGATTTGAAATTAATAGAATTGGGGGGAATACTTGGATGATATTAGGTACCATTTAACTCTCTGACTCTAAAAAATGAGGGAACTCCCTGGTGGTCCAGTGGTTAGGACTCTGTGCTTCCACTACTGAGGGCCCCAGTTCAACCCCTGGTCAGGGAACTAAGATCCTGCAAGCTGTGTAATGTGGCCAAGGGAAAAAAATTTAAAAAGTGAAACAGAGTGGGCTGATTCCAGAGAGAGCGAGCCTAGGCTAATACTACTCAAAGTGTGGACCATAGAAAGGAATCATCAGCATCACCTGAGTGCTTTTTAGACATGCAAGCTCTCTGGTCCAATCTAGATCTACTGAATCAGACACTCTGAGGATGGGACCAGAAATCTGAGTTAATGGACTCTCCAGATGATTCCTATGCCCATAAAGTGGGAGTAGTACTGTCTTAAGCTAAACTTGTTGCAAGAACTCCTCAGGGAAGATAGAGTAGAATAAGAAATTAAGGTGATTTTTGAATTTTAGATTCCTTGAACTTTAACTCACATGTGCAAATTAATTTGACTTTGAACTTCCATTTCTTTAGACTTTAGCTAGCAAAGCATAAATTAAATTAAATTTTAAATCCAAATTTTTTAATTTTAATTTCTCCCAATGAGTTTTATAATAAGAGGAGATTTCTATTTGAATATGAAACTGCTGTAGTCTGTGGCACTTTATAAAGGAATGTCTTTGCATTGTCATTTAATATCATCATAAAATCTCTAAATATTGGACTACATGAGTGCATATGTAATTTGAGATGGGAAGTGTGTGCGAAAGTCACTCAGTCATGTCTGACTCTTTACAACCCCATGGGCTGTAGCCTGCCAGGATCCTGTCCATGGACTTCTCCAGGCCAGAATGCTAGAGTGGGCAGCCTTTCCCTCCTCCAGGGGATCTTCCCAATGCAGGGATTGAACCCAGATCTCCTGCATTGCAGGCAGATTCTTTACCTGCTGAGCCACAAGGGAAGCCCAAGAGTACTGGAGTGGGCAGCCTATCCCTTCTCCAGCGGATCTTCCTGACCCAGGAATTGAACTGGGACCTCCTGCTTAGTGGGCAGATTCTTTACCAACTGAGCTATGAGGGAAGCCCACATGACTGCTTATATAATTTGAGACGGGAAGTGGAATAGGGAATAACTTTCAAGTCTTGGGGATGGCTGTGGCAGTAATTTAGTTAATGTTCTGGAGCCTTACTATTAATCTACTTCTTTGAAGCTTAGGTCATAGTTGCAGGCTTACTGAGTTTAAAATGTATGGGTTAAAAGATGAAGCTTTAGCGGGCTAATGGCTTAATGAATTAATGGGGTAGGAGGCCTGCTTATTCCACCCTCCTGAAGCTTCCTTCCATGTGAGGGAGCTCCACTGGTGCAAAACTCTCCATTTCTTTCCCTGCCTCAGTCACACCTCCAGTGGGAAGGAGTGACCTAGTTGGCTGGTGACTTTGGGACAGGAATTAGGCAGGTGGAGCTCTCTTTCATCTTGAGAGTCAGTGAGAGCCTGGTACCCACACGGGGAGCATGGTTCTACCCGCCTTAATGGGGTAGAGAAGGGGCAGAGTTTCCCAGGACTTCTTGCTGCTAATAGGGAAGTCTAATCCTGAGGCTCAATATCAAGAAGCTCACTTCTCTGCAGATATAAGCCACGTCCTCCACATGGACTTTATCAACAGTGATTATGATTCCATCTTGGGGATGGGGAGGGGGCAAGTGTGCTATATATTAGTCTCCCTCAAATCCCAACACTTCTCAGAAGCAGGCACTCTTTTCTTATCCATCTCTGTATTAACACAACATGCTTTGTATGAGATAAATGCTTGTTGCACTGAATACAATTTAAGCAGCATCACTGTTCTGGCCTTGGTTGAGGGGGACGGACTAGGTAATCCCCACGGTATCTTTCTGAGTAAATCTGCTCCGTCACCTTCAATCTGTCTTAAAAATTACTTTCCCTTTCTTTCTTTTTAGCAAATCTCATGGAACTCTTCCAGGCTTCAACATTTTCAAATTTGGGAATGTAGTGTTATGCAACACAGTGTTACCAGATAGCGATACATGAATAAAGTCCCAGGAGCATTCCACTTTGGAATTTGAGGATTCTGTTATCTTCATTTTGGTGTATGAATTGCAAACACTCTTCAAAGGGTCTATAAACAAAGCCTTTAAAAGAAGAGAAACAGGAGGGCTTGGCAGGTAGATTGAGAGTGGAGGGGTATCATCATCTTTCTGGCCTATTAACTCCCATAATAGTTCCCACTGTGAAGAGAGGTCTCAGTCTCATTCCTTTGTGAGTCCAAAGGGTCCCGTAGACAGCAACAAGCAGGTGGCTGCACTGCCCTGTGTTTGCTGAGTTTCTGCTTTTGTGGAAGTTTATGCATATAACTTACAAGTACAGAGTGTCAGCCACGTGGAAGTGGGGTTTAAAACAACCTCCCTGCTTGCATCTGAGGAGTCAGCCTCAGTGCAGCCTGGGACTTCTCAGTCTTCCTATCCACACTTCCCTTTCTGGCAGCAATAGCTGCATCCCCCTTTGAAAATACGGGTGAGAAAAAGAATGCCCAGGTTGGCATCTCTGGTTTAATATGGACACTGAGGCCTGCCTGCCTGGTATAAGCTGAAGATTATCAGAAAAGAACTAGTTTTCCAAATCACCAACAGCTACCAATGAATGAAACCCTTAACATTAGCAGCCCTGTCCTTCACTTTAAAGCATGAAATCTCTAAGTGTATCCTGTTAAAAATTAAATACCCTAGTGGAACGCACATAGTAAGACACCATCAGTCATGCTCACTATCACTGTGGGACAAATGATCTGACACATTAACTGGCAGCTTAAATTCTAAACTTTCTTTTTCTTGGTCCTTTATAATCCTTGCACTTTCTAGATGGCTCCTTAGCTCAAAACACCAGGCTCTCCCCTTCCCTTTCCTGTATGTCTTTCTAGCCAGAAACCCAGAGGTCTCAATACCCCTGCCCTGACTGCTGCCACACCACACCAACACAAGTGCGATGGACCCCCAGTTCTCATAAATTCCAAGGTCGTGCTCACCAGAATAAAGCATGACATCCAGGCAAATAAAATAGAAAAATGCCCTGCTGAAGATGTGCTCTTCTGCTACAGAAAGATCCCACAGCCACCCCAGAACCTGGATCAGCTGCTTGTATCTATGAAAAAAAAAAGGTGGTAGGATTAAAAAATGGTGGGGGGAAGGAAGTTCAGTCCTAGTCTCAGTTCTGCCCAGTAATGCAGAACCAAATACAATCCTGAAACAGACTTCAAACCTACTCCTAAATCCCAAATCGACTCTGTTCAATTGTTCTTTCATAGACCTCTCTATGAGGGTGGCCAGAGTCAGATCAACTTGTCCTGGGCCTCTGGTCTTGGTGGCTATTCTCGGGGCATTTGCCTCTCCTATGAGAGTGTTCCCTGTCTGCCCCCTGGCAGTGGTGGGGGCCTGATGCTCACACTGGGGGTGACTGTCTGGCCCTCTTCCAGTCACTGGCCAGAGCAACCAGGGCAGAGATGGGGCCTGGGCACGAGTTCTGTGAGACAGCAGTGGCATCCACAGGGTGGTGACCATTGGTTACACCAGCTTTTGGGAAGCCCTACTCCCTTCCCCATCCTATGGCCAGGGTTAAGGAAATCCAGAACATTCCATAAATATGTCTTTCTTTCTCTCATTTTGGAAAGTTCCTTGAGATAAATACCTGTTTTTCAAGAAGAGAGATTTACAAAGCCAGCAGAGTACCAGGTAGTGCCTATTGGGGTTCCGAAGCAAAGACCACATCTTGTGGGCTCGAGAACCTGGGGACAAAACAATTCCAGTATGCTTCTGGTTATCACTTGTATTTGCACGCCCTTCCTTGACCAGCCAGCCCTTACCTAAGTCAATGGCCAAGTCCAAGTGACCCATCAGGAGCTTTATATAGCCAAGCCTATCGGCCACATAGGTCATGATTTCGACGCCCTCGCGTTTCAGGGGGAGGTTGAAGATCTGCTTCATGGCCATGACCTCGTATTTGAACCACACGTCCTGGTAGCCAGCTAGATGTTGATACAGTGAATAGTCCAGGTAGGCCTTAATGATCTGAAATGGCAGCAATGGGGGAAAGGAAGAGAGATGGGGCGAGACTTAGATGGAGCCCAAAGCAGAAAGACCAGGATATCACCCAATACTGCCAGTAAACATGGATTCATTGAGCTTTGGAATGGAGCTGGACATTTGACCAAACATGGGCTTAGATACAGAAATTAAGCTGAGTTCCTGCAGTTTAATGCGTGAGTTCATGCTTTAAACATGAACTGTGTGAGACAAGCTCAATGGCCTCTTTTGCCCATAGAGAGTCCTTGACAAAATATAAGAACCTGAATTTTTGTGAAAAATAAAAGCAATAGCTTATATATGTGGATATATGACTGCATACCAGAAGGCCTGGAAGGATTTATCCCAAACTGTAAAAAGCAGTTTACCTATTTGTTGCAATTGGAGGAAAGATTTGAGGAACTTTTTATTTAATGCATTTCTGTGATGTTTAATTTAGTGTTATAACAAGTATGTATTACTTTCATTATTTAACAATAAAGAAAGGTTGATTTGGTTTTGTTTGCTTTCCAAAACAAAGTGAGGATTAGTTCTAAACTTAATTGGGAGATTTATGAGAAGTTGGTTACTCTTTAAACAGCTCTTTAAAAAATGATAAAGTTGCTCCAAGATAGAAATGTTTAGAGAAGGCTGAAGAGAAAACAGTCCCTGCTACAGACACAGTTTACTACTGAAAAGAAAAACACCAAAACCCCCATAAAGCTCAGAATACATATAAACTATTTTGAAAAACACAAACAGAAGACAGACAGAACCTCACATGGTAGAATGGTCTGGAGGCATTTAGAGAATTCCTTTATTCATTGTTTAGAACGTGTTTCAAGATAATGCGGCCAGTAGGGAGGAAACCGGGTGAGAGAAAGAAAATTGTTGGGCAAATGAAAAATCAGATCTATAATAAAGCCTCGTTCTTCCCAGATTTGGACCAAGAGAATTGAGACCAACTGCTTCACTTTATGGGGAAAATATAAAGCTACAGGTTACGTGATTTGCTAGTAGTCACACCACAGATAGATGGAGAGTCCTAGAAACTTCTCTCTTGGTCTTTTTTTAAATAATTGTTTTATTTTTTATTACTATTTTTTTGTCTTTACTAACATTTGGTTGCACTGGGTCTTCATTGCTGTGCGTGCACTTTCTCTAGTTGTGGTGAGCAGGGGCTACTCTGTGCTGCAGTGTACTGGCTTCTGTTGCCGGGGCGTCTCTTGTGGAGCCCAAGCTCTAGGAACACAGGTCCAGTAGCTGTGGCCCATGGGCTTTTTGTGGCTCTGCGCCATGGAACTCTTCCCAGACCAGGGAGTGAACCTGTGTCCCTTGCGCTAGCAGGCAGATTCTTAACCACTGGACCCCTGGGGAAGCCCTGGAAACTACTCTCCTGGTACTCATTCTGTTTCTTACTGTTATCCTACACAGAGCACCTCATCTGCTTTGAACACCCAGGGGAGATTTTCCCTTCTCTTCTGGCCTCAATCACAGCCATCTTGTTAATAAACATCTTTTGATTCACTTTCCAATTTTGATTTATCCTTTTTATGTCTTCCCTGCCCCTGACTCCACCACACGTTTAGGAGATAGCCCCAAGGATGAAAGAGAAGTAGAGCATTTCATTCAAAAAAATATTTGTTGAGTACCTACTACATGGCAGACACCATTCTAGGAACTCAGGGTGTGAAGAGATCAAAGCTAATTGCATAACATCAAGAAATTTGGGTCAGGAAAAATAGTGAAACAATTTGAAATGGGCCAAAATAAAACAAAACAATATCAAAACGTGTCCTATCCAGCTTACTTACCAAGGTAATCTCTGCTTTTCACTGTCTTTGGGCTACTTTACAATTCTATATACTATAGAAAACTGGTAATAATGTAAATGATTCTTTTTCATAGAAATATAAATATTTGGTGGAATATAAGTGATTTTATTCTTGATCTGTGACTTGACTAGTTTTGCATACATTCATAAATTAAATTCTCCTGGGAACCAGTTGCAATATCTTACTAGTTCTCTCACTAATTTTAATGAGCTCAATAAAATCTTTGATGTGTGCTCTTTTACATTTTTTTGTTTTGGCCATATTGTGCAGCTTATGGGATTTTAGTTTCTTGACCAAGGATTGAGCTGAGGCAGTGAGAGGTGTGAGCAGTGTCCTAACCTTTGGACGAGCAGGGAATAATTTTATCTTTTTAAAAAGAATTATCCTTTTACATTTTCTTTTTCACTTTCATCCTCTTATGTGTACAATGTGGTGTTTTCCAGGAGAGAATCAGGTGACATTACAAGGAAGTGTAGATAGAAGCAGATTGAGATCTTAGCCTGTCTTCTGTGAAATCAGACATTAAGGTATTTGCAAAAAATGTAATAGATGCCATTCTCACTAAATTTTTTTGTTTGGGGAAATAGCATTTTTTCCAATGAAAATGTTAATTATATTCATATGTCATTGGTTAATTTTCTTAAAAATTTTTTTTTAAGTAGGATCCTAGTTCCTTGACCAGGGATGGTACCTGTGCCTCCTGCAGTGGAAGTATGGATTCTTAACCACTGGACTGTCAGGCAAGTCCCCCCAAAATATTTCTAAAGTACCTCAGTTTTTGTTTCATATATGGCAATATCAGTAGATACAACCTATATAAATGTATGAACCCATATAAAAGTATATAGACCCATAGAAACATACAAACCCACATAAATAGCTATTGCATGCATGCTCAGTCACTTCCAACTCTTTATGACCCTGTGGACTGCAGTCCACCAGGCTTCTCTGTCCATGGGATTCTCCAGGCAAGAATACTGGAGTGGATTATCATGCCCTTCTCCAGGGGATCTTTCCGACCCAGGGATTAAACCTATGTCTCCTGCATCTCCTGCGTTGCAGGCATATTCTTTAACCACTGAGCCACCTGGGAAGCCCATAAAAAGCTATTGGAGGTCCTCAATTATTTAAAGTATAAGGGGGTTCTGGGATCAGAATGTTTGACAACTGTGGGCCTCAGCAGAACATTTCATCCTGGAAGGCTTTTATTATACCTTCATGATTTTGAATTTTGATTGGATTTCATATGGCTTTTCTCTCCAAATGAGATTCAGAAATATAAAAAGCAGCTATAAAAATACCCTACCTGGAAATCATCTTGAGTTTCCAATGCAGTATTCACTTGCATCAGAGCTGCCAGGTGACAATAATACTTGTAGTGGAAAAAAAAATTTAAGCTATAGATTTGCCACAGCAAGGAGAAACAAGTGGTTTGCTGGTAAAGCTGTGCCAGCCTCTTCTTCCTATTAAAGGACACACACAGGACAAAAGAAAAAGGTATCATCACCAACATACTTGAGGGAAGCACAGGTGCAGAGTCCTCGGTACCTGCTTGGGGGTCTAAATAGACTTGAGTTTGAGGCCTGTTTCCCTTACATGTAAATTAAGTTTAAAACGTTGTGTCTGGCTTCTTGCGACCCCGTGGACTGTACTGTCCATGGAATTCTCCAGGCCCAAACACTGGAATGAGTATCCTTTCCCTTCTCCAGGGGATCTTCCCAACCCAGGGATGGAACCCAGGTCTCCCGCATTGCAGGCAGATTCTTTACAAGCTGAGCCAGCAGTGAAGCCGAAGAGCACTGGAGTGGGCAGTCTATCCCTTCTCCAGCGGATCTTCCCGATCCACGAATCGAACCGGGGTCTCCTGCGTTGCCAGCAGATTCTTTACCAACTGAGCTATCAAGGAAGCCCTACATGTAAATTAACATGCACATAAATTGTTTTTCAGTTTCTGCAAACAATATTTTTTATTGAGGTACAGTTGATTTACAAATGTTGTGTTAATATCTGCTGTATAGCAGTGATTCAATTACACACACACACACACACACACACATATATATACATTATTTTTTTGATATTCTTTTCCATTGTGATATATCACAGAATATTGAATATAGTTCCTTGTGCTATACAGTAGGACCTTTTGTACATGCACATTAGTTTTTATGAAGCCCATTTTCTCCATTGCACAGTGGAAACCATACTGCTTTGTGATGATTAGTTAAGATAATTTATTTATATGTAAGAGCACAGAGGTAAATCATTTCACTTACATCTATAAATTTATTTATGATTTATTTATATATAAGACCTGTCCCCTGTCAGGTCACTGCCATTTAAGTGAAATTATTTGAAAAGCACATCTATATAATTTTATCTCATTTGAGCCTGACAACAACCCCACAAGAAAGGAAGGAATAATTAACCCCATTTGACATAAGCAGAGAGTGAGACTCAGGTTAAGTAGTCAAGTAAAAGTAACAGAGCGAGAATGTAACAGTGCCAGGACTCCAGCCCCGGCCACCTCCAGCCCAGCCAGTCCCATGTGTCATTTCCTATGCACATTGCTGTCAGGACCTAGGTCTCAGCTCAACAAACGAGTGAGTACTTTAAACAAATCCATTCTGCTGTGGTCTGAATTCATCCCCCCAAGGTTGGATTCTAACTCCTAAAAGTGACAGGATTAGTAGTGGGGCCTTTAGGACACAGTTAGGTTATGATTAGGTGGAACCTTCTTGAATGGGATTAGAGTGCTTATAAAAGTTCCTGGCCCCTTTCCACCAAGTGTGGATGTGACAAGAAGTCTTAAGAGGGCCCTGGCCTAACTATACTGACAGCAGGACCTCGGACTTCCAGCCTCCACACCTGTGAGCAATAATCTTCTGCTGTTAATGAGTTACCCAGCCTGTGGTATTTTGTCATATCATAGCAGTCCAAGCAGACTAAAACACATTCTGACTATGGGATGGAACGTCGCAGGAGATGGTGAACTTCCTGTGCTGGAATTGCTCAAGGAAAGGATGACTGACCACCTACCGGAGTGTTTGGGGACTCAGTCTCAGCCTCCACAAATCATTTCATTGATAATGTAGCCCCCAATCTTTTCTGTTTGTGATAAAGATGGGATCCTAAACTGGCTACAACATTAGTAATTTAACAAAGCCAAGAAAACAAAATATAATTATAAATAACTATCAAAAAAAGAGATTCTAAATAAAGTTGAGAAGGAAGAAAAATATAGAGATTCTTTAAAAAAAAAAAAAGAATATTTATTTATTTGGCTGTACAGGGTCTTTGACTGTGTGGATCACAATAAACTGTGAAAAATTCTGAAAGAGATGGGAATACCAGATCACCTGACCTGCCTCTTGAGAAACCTATATGCAGGTCAGGAAGCAACAGTTAACAGACTGGTTCCAAATATTAAAAGGAGTACATCAAGGCTGTATATTGTCACCCTGCTTACTTAACTTATATGCAGAATACATCATGAGAAATGCTGGGCTGGAAGAAGCACAAGCTGGAATCAAGATTGCCAGGAGAAATATCAATAACCTCAGATATGCAGGTGACGCCACCTTTATGGCAGAAAGTGAAGAACTAAAGAGCCTCTTGATGAAGGTGAAAGGGGAGAGTGAAAAAGTTGGCTTAAAGCTTAACATTCAGAAAACTAAGATCATGGCATCTGGTCCCATCACTTCATGGGAAATAGATGGGGAGACAGTGGAAACAGTGTCAGACTTTATTTTTNGGACGACAGAGGATGAGATGGCTGGATGGCATCACCGACTCGATGGACATGAGTTTGAGTAAACTCCGGGAGTTGGTGATGGACAGGGAGGCCTGGCATACTGCAATTCATGGGGTTGCAAAGAGTCAGACACGACTGAATGACTGAACTGAACTAAACAGGGTCTTAGTTTAGTTGCAGCATGTGGGATCTAGTTCCCTGACCAGGGATCAAACCCAGGTCCCCCTGCATTGGGATACAGGTTCTTAGACACTGGATCAGCAGGGAAGTCCCTATCCTAGAGATTCATAATGAAGAACTCCAGGTATTCTGTTTAGACACTGACAACATCCATTCTGTTGTGGAAATTAGTTTTTAAAGGTTCTAAGGAAACATGGAGAAGGTAAAATCCCTTATAACAGGGAGTTCATGAAGCTATGGAAAGTCTGACATTAAAGGTGTTTCTTTGTGTCCTTATTTTTGAGATGAGAACCTTTTGACTGGAGAGCGTTTTAAGCTCTGTAGTTCCTTCCTGATCATCAATTTTTCTCCTTCTTCTCTTGTGCAGGCACTTCTTATTCCTTTTACAAAATGTGGCTGTATTTAGGGAATGAAAATATAGGATGCTGAGTTAAATCTGAATTTCAAAACAATTCTTTTAAAATGCATATGCCTTAAATATCTTGTGTGATATAATGTATACTAAACAAAAAAAAAATCATTCATTATTGATCTGAACTTCGAATTTAACTAGGCATCCTTTATTTCATCTGACAACTCTCTTGTGACCCAAACTTCAATTCTCTCTCGTCTCACAGAGAGATCTCTGCTGAACCTCTCCCTGCCCCTCTCTCTCCTGGTGTCTTCTGAGGCAGCAGGCTTTAGATTCTCAGGAGCCCAACCCCAACCTGCAAAGGAGTTCAGATCCACCTCATTTCCAACCCTGTCCCCCTCCTCCCTACCCCCAGTCAAGAGAACACTTTCAGGAAGCTGGGGAAGGCAGGTTTTGGTGAGACTGCAGAAGGGTTGCAGCAATTTGCTCATAGACATAGATATTTCTATCTCAGGCAGAATCTGTAGGAATATTGCTACTGGCCTCTCCCGAGGTGGAACAGATTATCTGTCAGTTCTTCAGATCCCCAACTAGGTGACACCTCTTTTGGTATGAATTCCTAGGTAGGTAGAATATACTGTAAAAAGTGTGATGTGGAAAATTTTAAACATACACATAAAACAGAAAAATACGAGGTACATATACCCAGCATTCAGCTCCAACAACTATCAGCATTATTATTGCATCTGTTCTTCTACTCACTGTTCCCCTCCCCTACACCACCGCATTATTCTTTGCAGTTCTTTTATAGATAAAATTTACATGTTGAAATGTACAGATCTTAATGGTATAATCTTGATCGATAGATACCCTCTGTAACCCACAGATTTTTCTATCTATGGAGATACAAAAATGGGTGGGCCATTTTGTCTTTTAGCAGATGCCTTCAGGACCTGCCATTTTCCTCTAGGGCAGGGACAATACCCAGGGTTTTAGCACTGACTTGGAAGATGACTTTCGACTGAGGCCCTAGGAACAGGTGGTGCAGATTCCCATTGAAACATGGATGGCCAAGAGGTTAGTGGGTGAGATGAGTAGGGGAGGCACTGGAGTTCATCTTGCAAAGGGCTCCTTTGAGGTTTTGTCACCTGAACTCCTTTTGGCAAAAGCTGCTTGTTAAGTTGTTCTGAGGCAGCCCAGCCCTGGCCTGGGAGCCCCCCCACCCCTCCCTGACAGTGAGCCACCGGGACCCCTCGCGCCTGTTAGAGGCCCACTCTTTGGGGGACTGTTGGACTATGTGTAGGTCTCTCTCCTCTTGGGGAGTGAGATGAGACCCCTAGCTCTCTGCAGCTCTTTCCTTACCCTGGAGGTGAGCTCTCTTGGGCCTGCTGATTCTGATTCACATAATGAAAGTGTCTGTTTTTTTCAACCCTAGTCTGGAGAAACAAGGAGATTAGGTTGTAAGGAAAGATTCTATTGAGGAGCTTCAGAGCCTTCCTCAGCATTTTTTTGGCAAGCACCATCTGGCCCATGTTGAAACAGACCTAGAAGGAGAAGAAAGGGGAAGAAAGGAAAGAAAAAGGCAATGATTCCAAGCTTGGTTTATATGTTCCAAAAATACATAATTTAGGAATCCTTTTTTTTTCAATGAGTAGAAAGTGTTGAGTCACAGGGATCAGGACCACAGAGGGGCCACCGCCCCAAACTCTACTGAAGGAGTCAGGACCACTGTAGCTCCCCACCCATCTCTGCCTTTAGCCCCTGGTCAGAAAGGAGGGGTGGAGAAAGTCCCTGCTAAAGATACATATCATCTTCATGTCCATCTTGGTCACCAAATCTCTCATGCTGGAAGACGAATCTAGAAATCTCCTTTCCTCGTGTTGTCATATAAGACATCTTACCTGAAGTTTTCCCCAAGGCAGTTCCCCTCTTTGAGAAATTCCATCCCCAAATTCCCTATTTCCAACTATGTACTCATGGCTCCTGAGACCATCCCCACATCCCTGAAGGCCAGTCTCTACTTATGGAATGAATGATGAACTGTTTCCTTTCTTTTTTTTTTTTCTGGTCAGGGCCATCTTTGGGAGGTAGAAGAGAAAGTTAAGCTCCTGAACAACCTTTGTCACTTCATCATCAATGTAACATTGTTAAGACAGTCTTGGCACACGTGAACACCAAGGCAAGCTCAGACTTGAAGAGTAAAACAAGGTGAGACGTTGCCCCCAAGTCTCACGCAGTCTAAGTGGTATGTGCAGAGGCTGAAAGAGGGGAACAAGGTTTCTTTGCTGGGAGAGGGCGATGCAAATGGCACATTTTGGGACCCTGCTCTGGCAATCCTTGTTTTCCTGAACGTTCACCACTCCCTGCAGAGTGAGATGAGGGTGAGCACAGGCTCAGCAAGTTGGCCCCCAAAGCTACCTAAACCTTCTCTTTCTGGTATTCATTGGCCGCATCACCCTCTTCTTCACATATGTGTATAAGATACATACAGGAGGCTTTCCTTCAGAATACTTGAGAGAACCAGAGCTTACTGACATTTTCAATAGTTTAATTTACAAATTTTATGTAAATCTAAGGTGTAGGGGTTAATTAGGCCACAACTGTAAAATCTGGATTGGCCCACCAGTGCAGGCATGAAGGGTGGCAACCATAGCTACTCAGGTGTGGGAAGCTCTTCCTGAAGCTGGCTGGAAGTCAGATGAGGCAAGGCCCAGAAAGACATTTCCTCAGATGAGTTCATGGAAGCTTAGTCCGGCCAGCTACTCTATGAAAAGTGATCTAAGGTCAAATACGTTTAAGAGAAATAATATGTCCCAGTCCTAGCCCAACCCTCTGGGAGATTTCTGTGTATCTTAGCTTTTGACCCTTTTGATTTTTTTTGTTCCGGAACCTTTTTTTTTTTTTTTCGTTTCGGGGTTTCCCACTTTACCATTGATTTTTTTCTTTTATTTTTTTTTCCGAATTCCCACATTTCTAAAGGCGTATTGCCCTGAAACTTATTTACAGTTATCCTGGAGAAACATTCACTAGTGCTTTGGTTAGCCTAAAGGTATGTATGATAATTTAGCACAAATTACATGAAGATCAAAGTGAGTGAGCCCCTTCAGAGATCACAAGAGTAAAACTAGATTTGTTCTTATTCAAAGACCTACAGGTATTGTGCTGACAGATATTTGGGGAAGACAGAGGGCAAATGCAACTGGGACATTGCTGAGGAAGTCTCTACTGAAACTGAAGAGTTGAGACCAGAGTCTCATATAGGTAGACAATCCATAGCAAGTTTCCAAAGGTGGCAATATAATGTATAATGGTAGTTGCGGTTTGTTCTGACTTTTTTTAATCTCAGGTCATTTGCCTTCGAGCAATTTGATTTTCAAAGGAAGAGGGTGCTGGCAGGAATCAAGAACACGAAGTAATTAAAAGCAAAAACAAAAACAAAAACTAGAGCTTCCCTTCTGGCTCTCTGGTCTGTAAGTTGTCTCAAGGACGGAGGTGATCTGGGTAGAAACAGCTTACCATATAATTATCTTCCAAGACGAGATAAGCAGACACAAGTTCTAGGAAGTAATATAAGGCTTTGTTGTTTTCTCCCAAAGCAAGAAAATGGTGAGCCAGAGGCATGATGACAATCTCTAGGATCTCCTCACACTGGCAAGATTCCAAAGGGATGACATCATCTTCAGATGTCCTCATTTTTGTTATAATGATATCAAAGAAACTCAAGATCTTTTCTCTTATTTCTTCAGAACTGTCCAAATGCAGAAATAAATAGGAGTAATAATTTGTAGATATAGATAGGATTTGATATGAAAATATCTTTTAAAACAAATAAAAGAGCAAGATAAGAAAACCTAATGTAGGGACTTCCCTGGTGGTATAGTGGTTTAGACTCCGAGCTTCCACTGCAGGGAGCTCAGGTGGTCAGGGAAATAAGATCCCACATCCCACACAGTGCGGACAAAAAAAAAAAAAAGAACTCTAATGTAGATTTCTTCCATTTGGTAGGTTTTAGTTAGTGAAATAACTCAGGAAGTATGAATCAGATATTACTATCTGCGTATTTTCAGAGAGGAGTTACATATAGCAGAGGACACGGGGTGGGGTGGGGTCTGCGGTCTGTCTTGGGAAGGGCCCACCAGGATCCTGCTCAGTTACACAATGACTGATTAGACTAAGACAAAACCTTCTGACTTCTGCCTTAAAGAGCCAGAGTACTGACCAAACAAATGATTCTAACACTTGTCTGAATTTAATGCCAATTGTTTATGCTCTACTTTCTAAACAATTATAGATGACTGTACCTGAGGTTTTCAGAAAATAGTTCAGATTTCTTAGACGTCTCTATTCTGGAAAAAGTGATCTCTTCTTCAGCTGGAAAATTAACAAACAAGTGAGTTGTATCAGTCACTGAAATGATAGTGTGGCAGAGATGTCTAGGGTATACTGAAGCTTCCTGTTCCCCTTCCACAAGAAAATTGTTGTTGCCTAGCCAGGATCTACATTTCTCAGTCCCTTTTGCATCTTTTTCTTTTTCCTTTTTGGTCCCTGTCGTGCTGTGCAGCTTGCAGGATCTCAATTCCCTGGCCAGGGAATGGACCCAAGCCCATGTCAGTGAAAGCAACAAGTGAGTCCTAACCACTGGACCACCACGGAATTTCCTCCTATTACATTCATTCTTCATTCAGTCTTAAGTGAAGCCATGTGTTAAATTTAAAAATGGGATTCCATCAGAAATAATATATGTCACCTCTGAATTGAGATGGTTAGATATCTTCACCACCTCCTTTCACAGGAAAACAAATTAATTGTGGAGATCTAAGGGATAGCAAACCCACAACACAGAAGGAGCCTGGGTCCCTGACTGACTGTGAACAAGGCTCATTGTCAAAATGCTCATTGGATCATTACCTAGGCAGGAAAAAACTATCCTTCTATTGTGTTAACCCACTGAAATATTGGGGTTTGTTTTGGATGATAAAACAATCATAATTTACTCAAAGTATCCTGGAGGAGGGCATGGCAACCCACTCTAGTATTCTTGCCTGGACAATCCCCATGGACAGAGGAACCTGGCAGGCTGCAACCTATGGGGCCACAAAGAGTTGGACACGACTGAAGCAACTAAGCACAACTCAAAGTATAAATTAATGATGCTGAAGAGAGTGATGTCAGCTTCTAGTAGAGAAATAGACATTTATTGGAATACCCCCAAAAGGGGAATAACTTAAGGGCAGAGACCCTTGAATTTAAAACCTTCAGTCTATCCAGACTGCAATAGTTTAGAAAATTTCATAAAGATCTTAAAACAGAAAACAAATGAGGATTGTTGAATCTAGCTACTTCTCCATTCAAGGAGAGGGAAGAATCCTAGAGAGCAGAAAGGCCTTGTCTCAGATCATACATCTGTTAGTGATAGAGGCCTCCAGACTCCAAGATAAATGCATTACTCCACNGAATTTAAAACCTTCAGTCTATCCAGACTGCAATAGTTTAGAAAATTTCATAAAGATCTTAAAACAGAAAACAAATGAGGATTGTTGAATCTAGCTACTTCTCCATTCAAGGAGAGGGAAGAATCCTAGAGAGCAGAAAGGCCTTGTCTCAGATCATACATCTGTTAGTGATAGAGGCCTCCAGACTCCAAGATAAATGCATTACTCCACAGATCTTTTAATTTATACAATGCAGTCTTAGCATCTACTATCACCTTCTTCTGAAAGCCTTCTGTGGCTCTGCCCCTTAGAATTAGTGCCCAACTTGTGTGTCCAATGACCCCATTCAGATCTCTATCATCATCCTTTGTCATACTATATAAGGATTAATTTGCCCACCTCTCCTAGTCTGCTGTCTGGCTTCCCTCATAGCTCAGTTGGTAAAGAATCCGCCTGCAATGCAGGAGTCCCCGGTTCCATTCCTGGGGCAGGAAGATCCGCTGGGGAAGGGATAGGCTACCCACTCCAGTATTCTTGGGCTTCCCTGGTTGCTCAGCTGGTAAAGAATCCGCCTGCAATGTGGGAGACCTGGGTTTGATTCCTGAGATCGGAAGATCCCCTGGAGAAGGGAAAGGCTACCCACTCCAGTATTCTGGCCTGGAAAATTCAATGGACTGTACAGTCCATGGGGTCGCAAAGAATCAGACTGAGCGACTTTCACTTTCCTAGTCTGCTGTCTAATTCAACTCTAGTGAATAGAAGCTGAATAAACTGAATTATACCTTTATCCTCCTACTCCTCTAAAACTTGCTTGTTAGAGTTACCAGTAAAAACAAGGTGCCAAATCCAAACATTATGCCTTTGTCTGCACCTCATGACACCTCTTGGCAGCATTTGCAACAACTGACCTCTCCTTGCCTTTACCGGCTTCCGCAACACCCATTCCCTTGATTTCTTTCCTCACTGGCTGCCCATTTTGCTGGCTCCTACTGCTCTATCGATGTGCCTAAAACCACCTCTGGCACATGTAAGAAACTCAATAAATATTTACCAAATGAGTAAATGAAATGTTGAATGAGAAAATCGCATATTGAGAAGATCAAAGGAATGAGAGGAGAGGTCCCTGAAGAATTAGGTGGAGCAAGTGGAAGGACAGAACCCAGGAGGAAGCCCGTGGGCTGTCCATCCTTAGATTGGATCAAGACTTAGAAAATAAGTTTTTAGGAAGGACTCAGGATTGACAGAGAACTGAAAAGGGAACTTCTTCACTATCTGATGCATACCTGGTGCTGTGTTCTTGAAACTCATATGATATTAACATGCCCTTCTCCAGCATTACTTAAAAGCATACCTCACACTTAGGGGAGATTTGGTGACAACAAATGTCTTTGTTTTTGCTTTCAGCCAAGACTGAAACAGGATATTATAGCAAAGACATTGCAAAAAGGAAATTTCATAAAAACTCTAGGAAAAATGAACTTTTTTAAAGAAATCTATTCACAGTATATTACTTAGTTCTGTAACAGCAGTTACATAATCTTAATAATGTAGATACTTGATTAATTTATCTAATGATAGTGCTATAACAATATTGGGAGAGAGTTGCCCAAGAGTGCTGTAATAAAGTTAGATTTTCACAGGTGATGTGATTAAAACAGGTGATGTCAGAATTTGATTTTTTAAAAAGCAGGATTAACATATCACTTAGCATATGGAGGTAATGACTAGAAAGAAGAACTAAGTTAAAAATATTTGCCCTTGTGACTTCCCTCACCGTCCAGCAGTTAAGACTTCACCTTCCAAAGCAGGGGTTACAGGTTCCATCCCTGGTTGGGGAGCTAAGATCCCACATGGCTCATGGCCAACAAAAACAACATAAGCAACATCGTAACAAATTCAATAGAAGGCTTTAAAAATTTTGTTGTTATTCAGTGGCTAAGTCCTCTCTGACTTTTTGTGACCCCATGGACTGCAGCATGCCAGGCTTCCCTGTCCTTCACTATCTCCCAGAGTTTGCTCAAACTCATGTTCATTGAGTTGGTGATGCCATCCAACCATCTCATCCTCTGTCATCCTCTTCTCTTCCTGCCTTCAGTCTTTCCCAGTATCAAGGGCTTTTCCAATGAGTCAGTTATTCACATTAGGTGGCCAAATAATTGGAGTTTCAGCTTCAGCATCAGTCCTTCCAATGGTTATTCAGAACGGATATCCTTTAGGGCTGATTGGTTGGATCTCCTTGCAGTTCAAGGGACTCTCAAGAGTCTTCTCCAACACCACAGTTCAAAAGCATCAATTCTTCAGCACTAAGTTTTTTTTTTAGAATCCAACTCACATACATATTATTTATGTTCTATTTAGTTCATAGTTCTATTTAGTTCATAGTTCAGAGAAATAGCAAGTTAGCCTGGACTCAATAAGGCAGTTCTTCTGGTTTGAGCCAGGCTCGAATGATTTTGACTGAGCTTCAATATTGTATCTGCACAAGGCTGCCAGCTCCACTGGGGGCTAGCTGACAGTCAACTGGGAGTCTTGAGCTTTCCTCCCCATGGTCACTCATATTCCAGAAATCTAGTTTGGCCTGTCCACAACACCAGTAAGAAATCTCTTTTCAAGTCTCTGCTTTCATCAATTTTGCTACTGTCCCTAGTGACTCAGATAGTAAAGAATCTGGCAGCAATGCAGGAGCCCCAGGTTCAATCCCTGGTTCAGGAAGATCCCCTGGAGAAGGGACTGGCAATCCACTCCAGTGTTCTTGCCTGGAAATTTCCATGAACAGCAGTGCCCGGTAGCCTACAGTCCATGGGGTCGCAAACAGACACAGCTGAATTACTAATACATTTTATTGATCAAACAAAGCNAGCTTTTAAGTTTCATTAGGTCCCATTTGTTTATTTTTGCTTTTGTTTCTAAAATTCTGGGATGTGGGTCATAGAGGATCCTGCTGTGATTTATGTCGGAGAGTGTTTTGCCTATGTTCTCCTCTAGGAGTTTGATAGTTTCTGGTCTTACATTTAGATCTTTAATCCATTTTGAGTTTATAAAAAATGTCTTTATTTAAAGATATCTAGTTGACACCCTTCTAAATAGGTGAAAAATTCTGATAAGGGAAATAGTTGAGCCCTAGCCTCACTCAGCTGAAGGTGCTGATGAATGGACATCAGCAGGCATTTCTCAGAGACACGCCACCATATATGTTCCAGAGTGAAAGTTATGGTGTATTGGAGAACCTGAAGTAACTCAAGTTGTTTTCTCTGGTGGCCCTAGCCAGCCTGCTGAAGACCAGCTCTGATTCCAGAGAGTCTGGAATATTCTTTCCCTTTTATCTCTTGTCAGTCAACTCTCTCCTATGAATACCTTCACTGGTGCTTTGACTGTAGCCCTACACTGGGGTCCTTCACTGAAGCTACCTTGATTTGGTCATGCATCTTCTTTAGCTCTCCATTGCCTGCTCTCTTAATGTTTGTTTTATTCTAACACTCCAGTAATAGGGGTCTTCTCTCACTCTTACGGGTACTCTTGGGAGCGACTTAAAATGGCAGCAGGCTGACTTTTTCTCCCAGGTGAGTTATATCTTATTTATGGGATAAATAAATCCTTTCCCAAACTCTGGGATGGCAGGCTGATCCTGTTGCAGCCACAGGGCACTCTGGCTTCATTAGGTATGAGGTTTTCTGTATCCTCCAAGCAACTTCAAAGGAGACACCTTTCTAGGGTTGGGGTGATGAAGGAAGCAAGCCACTTGGGGGTACACAGTTACTCCTCAGTTCTTGCCAAGTCTCCCCACAAATCCCAGCCCTCTCCACGCTCTTCCTCATTTCGTGTCTTGAATGTGGATGAAGGATCCAAGGTAATAACTGATTCTCAACTATTTCCTTTGTACATTCATCTATTTGCCTCACTTTGGATTGCAACATTCATTGTATCTTGGTACTTGGTACAAATTTTAACATCATGAATCCCTGTCCTGAACCCAAGCGCTCTTTTCTGGGACCCTGACCTGTTTAGTCCTGGCTAATTCTCTCCCACTCATACTCCTTTTCCACTGGAACCTTGTTTCAAACTACACAGAGCAACAGCATTCTTATCTGCAAGAAACATTACTCCCTCTTGGATCATGCTCTCCTCCTTGGGTTCCACCCCTTGATGTGATTGTCTGTTTTACCCCTTTGGAAATTATAATTTGAGCTCTGGTCATACCTCATTTCTACCAGAGTCCTTATCCCCATATCCACCCTGACAATCTCACAGTGAGATTGGTTCTGCCAACTCGGTTGCATGTACACTCCTCAACTCTCCCTGCCTCACTGACCTTCACTGCTTAAGTCTCATCATTTGTGGGGTCTGAGTCAGAAGAGGACTTGAAATCCTCATGGTCTAGATCTACTCCTTTAGGTCTTGCCTTTGTTTTCCCCAGGAATAATTAGAACTAATTAGGAATGAAAAAAGTTTACTTTGAAATCCATGGGACTTAGCCATCTTCCTAATGGTATCCAAGTCCAAAGTGTTGAGCCGGATGTCCACTGCGAAGTGATGAAAGGGGACGAAGTCTCCACTTCGGCAGGGGTCACACCTGTGGGCGTTTTCCTCCAGAAAGCGGGCACATTTCAAGTGCATCGCTTTCTTCTGGTCCTTCAACCATAGCTCATAGGCTGTTTTCTGCATCATTGGGCTGCAGAATCGAATGATGTGGCACTGAATCACCTCACTTTCCAGTTCACGGAGCTCCTCCTCCTCACCATGATCTAGAGAGGACAGATACACCACGGATAATAAGTCAGCCTCTGCTACAAAACACAGATCTGTTCTTTTATCAAGATGTGCCTTAAACTGAAGGTTCCTTCAGTTTAACTATGATTCATTTCCAGGCTCTACTCACCCATTCCTTCAATGAGTGGCTTCAGAGAAAGGGATCGATAATTCACCTCAAATGAAGCTGCATTCTTTTCTAGGGCCATTCGGAGCTCCTTGCCATTCTGGAAACAATCAAAGATGTTGGATTCCACAAGGGTTGCCAGGGCATTTATCATCATCTTCATGTCCCAACAAGGGAGAATCTCAAACAACAGCTCTGTAGTGAAAGTTAGGCCAATGATAGCAGCACATCTCACCAACATCTGGTGGGACAGGCTCATGCTATCCAGCTGGACCAGAGAGATTTCTGCAGGTAGAAAGTCACACAAATAGGGAATTAGTCATCTGTCTTTATCAAATGAATTCGAGAAATGGACAACTGTCCAGCTGTACAGTTCTTGTTCACAAAACTATAGCCAGTTGAGCTAAACCAAAAGAAGTATTTGCTTAGTACCTACTTAGCAGATAGCACTCAGGAGTACAAAAGATGGAGATGCTATGACCTAAAAATATGCATGTCCCATTGGCCACGGCAATAAGATCAATTTCAAGGTGTTCTGATTTTGTGTTAAAATGTGACAGGGGTGTGTGAGGAGAGGAGAGGTCACGGTAGGCCACAGTGGTCAGAAGGAGAAGGACCCAGGAATTTCCTGTCAGTCCAGTGGTTAGGTCTCTGGGCTTTCACTGCCAAAAGCCTGGGTTCAATCCCTGGCTGGGGAATTAAGATCCTACAAACTGCACAGTGCAACCAAAAAATAAAAAGGAGCAGGGCCTGACTTCCATGTTCTGTGCTGACTTCTCCAGTGGGTCATTCTCTATCTTCTTCACTAGCTACCCTTTCTCCTGGAACTTCCTGGCAATAAAATTTCTCTATCTGCTCCAGCATTCATTTATCCTTGTGACAACTCATCATTATCTCTATGATCAAGACCAAGTGGCAGAGAGCTCCTAGCTCCAATTCCATCTTTTTGTCTAAGCTTGACTATCAAAGGTCCCATAACTTCCTGGGCTCTTGACCAGTATGTCCTTCTATTGTATCACCCACATCAGGACAAAATATGAACTCCTCAACCTATCCACAGAGCTGTGCAAGAGGCTGGGATTCTTGGCCTCTGGAGGAGAATTCAATCCAGGGCCAGTGACGAGGCTTGATCGCTCAGAGCTTCTGTGTAATAAAGTTTTATTAAAGTACAAAGGAGATAGAGAAAGCTTCTGACATAGACATCAGAAGGGGGCAGAAAGAGTGGCCCTCCTGCTAGTCTTTAGCCAGTCCATAGCTACTGTGTGTGTCTGTTAGTTGCTCGGTTGTGTCCGACTCTTTGTGACCCCACAAACTGTAGCCTGCCAGGTTTCTCTGCCCATGGAATTCTTCAGGCAAGAATAACTGGATTGGATTGCCATTTCCTTCTCCAGAGGATCTTTCTGACCCAAGGATCAAACCCTGGTCTCCTGCTTTGCTGGCAGATTCTTTACCATTTGAGCTACAGGGATAGCTACTAGCAAGCTGCTAATTAGAGAAAGGAGATGTCTCAATACTCAGACTGGCACCAGGCCCCTCATCCACAACATGCATTTTGAGATGACCTTGGCACCAGGGGAGTCATCCTGGGCCGTAAAATGATTGACATGAATTTTGAAGAAAGGCAGGTTTTCAAGCAAATACAGCCTTATTAACATAGCTTAAGAGAATATTTGCATGAGTAAACCATACTGGTTTGTCAAGTCAGTTCTGAGTCTTAGGCAGAACCAACTTGAAGACCGTCTAAGGATAAATACATTGTTCATTAACATAGCTTAAGAAAAACATTTCCATAAGAAAAATGCATTGGTTAGCTCAAGGTTTGAGAAAAGTTAAGTTCAGGTAGAACCAGGTGTTGTCATGGCAACACAGAATTTTAAAAGAAACCTCTTTTTAAATTTGTACAGAGAAGGGGAAAACATCTAACACTTGTAGTTTGTTTCCTCCTGCCACTTAAGAGAGAGAGAAAAAAATGTCTGACACGTGCAGCCTGTTTCCTCATTTGGAGACCCCTGGCCTTCCTGCCTGTTACCCTCTCTTGGCAGATTCTTTACCATTTGAGCTACAGGGATAGCTACTAGCAAGCTGCTAATTAGAGAAAGGAGATGTCTCAATACTCAGACTGGCACCAGGCTCCTCATCCACAACATGCATTTTGAGATGACCTTGGCACCAGGGGAGTCATCCTGGGCTGTAAAATGATTGACATGAATTTTGAAGAAAGGCAGGTTTTCAAGCAAATACAGTCTTATTAACATAGCTTAAGAGAATATTTGCATGAGTAAACCATACTGGTTTGTCAAGTCAGCTCTGAGTCTTAGGTAGAACCAACTTGAAGACCGTTTAAGGATAAATACATTGTTCATTAACATAGCTTAAGAAAAACATTTCCATAAGAAAAATGCATTGGTTAGCTCAAGGTTTGAGAAAAGTGAAGTTCAGGTAGAACCAGGTGTTGTCATGGCAACACAGAATTTTAAAAGAAACCTCTTTTTAAATTTGTACAGAGAAGGGGAAAAACATCTAACACTTGTAGTTTGTTTTCTCCTGCCACTTAAGAGAGAGAGAAAAAAATGTCTGACACGTGCAGCCTGTTTCCTCATTTGGAGACCCCTGGCCTTCCTGCCTGTTACCCTCTCACTTTCTCCTTTGTTGAAGCATCCTAAAGAAAGCAAGAGGAAAATCTAGGTCCTGGAAAATGAATACCATGTCACATTTTCTTTACCTTTTAATGATGCTGGTGGTGACAAGTTTTTCAATCTGACACCACTAGCGAGGTTACAGACTTCTTCATTTTCCTCCTCAACACCGAAAGTAAACATTTTTAAATCCTCTGTTGGCTTAGCAAAGTTCTCTGTAGAGAGGTATAAAGGAAGAAAAGTTGAGAGTCATTGCGCTATTATTATCTGGGTTTTTCCAATAAACTTCAAGATGGGTCTCACATGAGAAAGAGCAGGCAGAGATGTGTGTCAGCCCCTGAAGTATTCTGGAATACTGTTTTAAGTAAAGCTGACATATGAAAATCAAAATTTACTCAAAACATGTTTTTCTTTCCCTCCCCTGCCCAAGAAAAAAAGGATTGGTAATAACAACTGAACGTCTTCCATAATACATGCAGTTTTCCAAAAATTTGATTCAAAGATTATCAGGATGTATCTTGCAGTTTATACTTACTATACGTGCATGCATGCTAAGTCACTTCAGTCACATCCGACTCTTTGCAACTGTATAGACCTTAGCCCACTAGGCTCCTCTATCCCTGAAGATTCTCCAGGCAAGCATTGCTGTGCGCTCCTCCAGGGGATCTTCACGACCCAGGGATTGAACTGGTGTCTCATGTCTCTTGCCTTGGCAGGCAGGTTCTTGACCACTAGCATCACCTGGGAAGCCCATACCTACTATATACGATATACTTATATGCATACTTACAGTATATACTTGTATTCACACTGAAATACCCACACTCCGAGGCAAGCATATTCTGTAGAAGACTGTACTCTCCTTAAGATTGGTTATTGTCAGAAAGCGATATTAGGGACTTCCTTGGTGGTGCAACGGTTAAGAATCCACCTACCAATGCAGGGAACACGGGTTGGATCTCTGGGCCAGGAACTAAGATACCACATACCTTGGAGCAACTAAGCCCACCTGGCAGACTACTGAGCCTGTACACTAGAGTCTGAGTGTTGCAATAAGAAAAGTCACTGCAATGAGAAGCCCACAAACCACAACTGAGTAACCCCACTTGCCACAACAAGAGAAAGCCTGCACAAAGCAACAAGGACTGAGTGCAGCCAAAAATAAATTTTAAAAAAAATTTTAAGAACTTATTTTTTAATAAAAGAAAGATATTAAGAATGAAGTTTGAATATAAACTTGCATAGTAATTTTTTCTCCTGGCACTCCAAAATGTATTACTTATTTGTCCCTCCAGTCATTCATTAACACTTGAGTTGCAATGTCATGGACTGGGCATGGGTTGGAAAAGAATTTCCAGACATGAGACAGAATGAGAGGGAAATACAGTTTATTAGAGTGGGAAAAGCTGTTAGAACAGCAGGCCAGCTCAAGGGAGAACTGACGTTGAATACGGGTCCTTAGTTCACTTTTATACCCAGGGTACAAGGAGTGGGATAGAGGTCTTGCAGGTCATTTGCTGATTGGATGAGGCACATAAACTGGGTGGGGGGTGGGAAGAGTAAGGCAAATATCTTCTCCTTATGGGGTAGGAGAGGAGACAGGTTATGCTAGGAAGACCTGAAATCCGTTAACAGTTACAACGTGGGGGGAGGGAAGGCTGATAAGGGTCTGGTTTTTCCTTTCCTGCATTCCAGGACCCTCCTTGGTTTTATCTACTCTTTTGTCCTTGGGTCACCACATGCAAGACACTGAGATAGGTGATGTGGAAATACGAGGGTGACCATAACAAAGTTCCTGAACTCCTGGAAAGAAAAGGTATATACACAGAGAGTCAGATAACCAGACAGTAAACAAGTGCCACATGAGTAGGCACAGATGGTAAGTGTTGGAGGGTTCATAACACAGTATAGACTTTTTATGCATCAGAACCTGTGAAGGCTATAAATGTGGCTAATGCATGCTTCCAGCCCTCAAGGATTTTAAGATTTATGGAAACTGATATTTAGGTAACTAATCATCAAACAGGAAAAGTGACTTAAGAGCTAAAGAGCAAAGAGGAACAGAGAATAAAGGACAATTAATTCAGTCAGTAGATTCAGGAAGGCTTCATAGAGGAAGAAATATTTTGGTTGAACCTTAAAGAAGGAAGGGATATTCCAAGTAGAAAATAGAAGGGTGATCAACGCAAAAGCACAGAAGCCATGAGCACTTTGCAATGTAGGGAAATGTAAAGAGGCCACAGTGGGTGAAGTGCTGGAGTGCCACATTACTGCAGGAGATGTATGCACTTAGAGACCAGAGTGTGCAGTGCATTCAATACCACACTGTGAAGCTTGGACTTTTGTTCCACGGACAATGGGGAAATATCCCAAGTTGGATAGTAGTGATCCAACCAACTATTTTTAGGAAGATAACACTGGAAGCAGGGAGGACAGGCAAGAGACTAGGAAGGTGTGTAAGAAACTATGACAATGGAATATCAGGAAGTGAAGATGGATAGGATTATGCAAGTGATAACGCAAAGAAAACTGATGATATTGAGAAAATGAGACCTAGGCAAGATAGTGATGGAGGTGAGAGAGACATTAGTGTTGCCAGTAATCAAGCTGGGAAATATAAGAGGAGATGCAGTATGGAAGGGAGGTAATGCACTACATTTTACATCTGTTGAGTTCACTGGAATGTATAGGACAGTCCAATGGGCAATTGCAAATATGGGTCTGGAATTAAGAGTGAAATTAAGTTGGATATTACGTACACAAACACACACATACTCACATGTGCACTTCACACATAGAAGGCTGGAAAATAAATGAAAAACTGAAAACAAGTGGAGACAGAGTACTGAGTCAGCAAAGAGAAAGGTTGAGGATGGAATGTGAAGAGTGCTCTCCTCTGAACAGAGACCCAGGGGGAGGAGCCCATCTGAGGACTGGTCAGCGAGGCAAGAGGGGCAAAGGAAGAGTTCAGGATCGGGGAAGCAAGTGAAGGGTAGCATACCAAAAAAGGGATCAGGTGTGTGCATGCGTCATGGGGGTAAGAGAATAGGGATTAAGAATCTGACTTGACAGGGAGTCTCCTGGTAAGTCTAGTGGTTAGTATTCAGCACTTTCACTACTGTAGCCCAGGTTCAACTCCTGGTCAGAGAATTGAGACCCTACAAGCCACACAGCCAAAAATATATAAAGAACACGACTTGATCCACGCTCTTCTATGCTTCTATGCTTTTTAATCTCCCTTTCCAGGACCTAGCACTGTGATAACCATTCTTTTATCACTCTAGGTACAAGACCTTTAGGTACAGGCCATCCTAGGACTGGAGATTCAGGAGTATATAAAACTTCCTGCCTCAGGGAGCTGACATTCTCACAGTGGAAGACAAATAACCAACAGATAAATAAATTAATAGGATAACCTCATAATGTGACTCAGTTTTGTGAACAAAGAAACAGTGATAGAGACTAATGAGAAAGCTCAGAATGGGGAAGGTCTTCCTTAAGCAAGGCATGGTCAGAGAAAGTGATTGAGGTGATGACACCTGAGGTAAGGGAAGAGGAAGTAGGTATGCAAAACAGCTGAGGAGGGGAGCAACCAGGAACTCAGGGTGTTGGAGGCGCAGAGATGTGGCTGGAGCAGATTTCAGAATGTTGGTGCGACCACAGAGGGGGTGGAAGGCAGCTCCCACAGGGGTCTCCAGTCCAAGGTGGGGCGTTTGGATTTCATTGTAAATTCAATAGGAAACCACGAAAAGTTGTTTGGTTTTTAAAAAGTCTGTTTATTTGGTAAGTTTCAAATCTATCAAAAGCTGTAAGAATAACACTATTAATCTTTATTCAAATTCGTCTGTTGTTAACATTTTGCCCCATTTGCTATACCTTTGTTCTCTATGTACATATTTTTCAGAAGCATTTCATTTGAGTATTAAGTCGTATAAATCACGCCCTTTTACTCCCAAATACTTTACTCTGAACTCCCCCAGAATAACAATTCTCTTACGTAAGTAGAAGTACTTATCATCTTTTACTGTCCATATTCCAGTTTTGTCAGTTGACTCAGTAATGTTCTTTAGCATTCTTTTTTTCGTATACAGCCCAGGTGTCCTCCAACAGGTGAGTGGCTAAACAACCTGTGGTATGTCCATACCACAGGACACTACTCAGCAACTAAGACCAAACGACCGACACACACAAGAACCCAGATAATCCTCAGGGAGCTATGCTGAGTAAAAAACAATCTCAAAGGATTACACACACTATCTTATTCCATTTATAAAAATCCCTTAAAGTGACAAAGTTATAGATGTGAAGAACTGATTCGTGATTACCAGGGAAGGAAGTGTGGGTGGGAGGGAAGTGGGGTGGCTGTAGTGGCAACATGAGGGATCCTCGTGGTGATGAAAATATGATGTATCTTGACTGTATCAATATTAATGTCCCGGTTATGATATTATTCTGTAGTCTTGCTGATGTTACTATGGGGGAAAACCAGGTAAAGGGTACATATTAATTGAATCTCTCCATCTTATTGTTTTAGCCAAAAAGTTCATTTGAGTTTTCTCATAACACCTTATGGAAAAACCCAAATGAACTTATTGGCCAAGCCAATACTTGTTACAACTGTATGTAAATTTATGACCACCTCAAAAAGTTTAATGAAAGAAACTCAACGAGGCAGCAAAGTATTATTGTATTCAGTCACTTGGTTTATATTCAAAGAGATCCCCAGAATGCCTACTGTGGTGTAAGACACAGGAAAGGTGCTCAATAGACCTTTGTTGAGTTAATAAGTGAGAAAAGATTTGAGTTCCTCTATTCTACATTATAGAGCAGGTAGCTGGCAATAAAGGTTGTGACTAATCCCTAAATATCAGCTATTAAATGTCATATGGAGAACTGAAATCTGGACTCCTAACTTCAAAGCCAAAATTTTCTTTTGATTGCACTGTTCTAACTCTTTTTTCATAGCATAGATGCTCTCTCTTAAACCTTGTGTCTAAATATAGTTTCTTCCTTTCTTCTAAATATAGTTCCTTCTGTTCTTTTTTGTGAGCATATTATTTTTTCTCCTTATCACTGCCACCTCCCTGAACAACTAGCATACCCACCCCAGACATTTTCCTATCATTCACATTAATCCTAATCCTCTGCACCCCAGCTTGCATCTGTACCCCTTTCCCCAACCCCCACCCTTCTCCCTTCAACAAAACCATTTTCTTAAAAATTCCACCTGGTCTCTTTGTGCCATTATCTCAAAATTCATCCTTCTGCCTGTCTACCATGAGAAGCTTGTTGACAATTCACTTTGAGATAATCATTTTACCTCTAGAAAACAAGTTATTCTTTTTCCCTGATAACATCCACATCCTTCATCAGTTCTGATTCTGGGCTTTAAGATTCTCTGGTGTTCTTTCATTTCTTCTTTTTTCAATCTTTTAATTTTTTTTTCCATTTATTTATATTAGTTGGAGGCTAACTACTTTACAATATTGTAGTGGTTTTTGCCATACATTGATATGAATCAGCCATGGATTTACATGTGTTCCCCATTCTTTTATTTCTATTACAGGTCGACATTCTTTCTCTCAGTTCAGTGAGACCCCGGCAATGTTAAGTTCTCTCACATTCTGGGATATCAAGCCCAACATTCACTGCCTCCTCAAACCCTTTTAGGAAGAAGCCTATGGAAAAGCCTTCTCTTGCCACCCTCTCTTCAGAAGGAGAGTGAGAGAAAGAACCATCATCACAGGACTTACTGAACAGGTTATTCCAGGTCACATTTGTCTTTTCCTCAGACTCCATTGCTTGGAAAATGAGTACCCTGTGATGGTCTAGGTTTTTAAGCAATTCTTCACAGTAAAATGGAATTCCACAGCTTCCCTCTGCCAGATACCTGTAGTGAAAACAAGGCAACCTATTTATATCAAAGAACTATCTTTTAGGAAGGAAAAATATTTGAGTCTTCTCAATCACTCAAAAATAATCACATCTCTTTCTCCATTTGTTTTGGTTTCCTTTCCATTTTTAGGGATTGCCTTTGCTCTTTTTCTTTCATTTTTGAAAATTACATAAAACATTAAAATCTTTCCAAACTCAAAACTATGTAATAAGGCACACCCTCAGTCTTGCTTCCCTACCTCACCTTGTAAGTAACCATTTAAATTAGTTTCTGGCTTATCTTTTCAAGGTTTCTTTCAAAAACTATAGAAAATGCACATATATATTTCACCCCTTTCCTCAGATTAAAAAACAGCACTTTGTCCATACTGCACACCAGGCTGCCCCTTGTTTTTCCCTCCATAATGTATCTTGGTCATCCCTCCATATCAGTTCAGTTCAGCTCAGTTCAGTCTCTCAGTCGTGTCCGACTCTTTGTGACCCCATGAACCGCAGCACGCCAGGCCTCCCTGTCCATCACAAACTCCCGGAGTTCACTCAAACTCATGCCCATCGAGTCAGTGATGCCATCCAGCCATCTCATCCTCTGTCGTCCCCTTCTCCTCCTGCCCCCAATCCCTCCCAGCATCAGGGTCTTTTCCAATGAGTCAACTCTTCGCATGGCCAAAGTATTGGAGTTTCAGCTTCAGCATCAGTCCTTCCAATGAACACCCAGGACTGATCTCCTTTAGGATGGACTGGTTGGATCTCCTTGCTGTCCAAGGGACTCTCAGGAGTCTTCTCCAACACCACAGTTCAAAAGCATTAATTTTTCGGCACTCAGCTTTCCTCACAGTCCAACTCTCACATCCATACATAACCACTGGAAAAACCATAGCCTTGACCAGACGGATCTTTGTTGGCAAAATAATGTCTCTGCTTTTTAATATGCTGTCTAGGTTGGTCATAACTTTCCTTCCATATCAGTAGGACTTTCTTATTTCTTTTTGTAGCTATGTAGGGCTCCATTTTGTGGATGCATCCTAGTTTACTCTAACTGTCCCCTTAGAGATGGACATTTGGATTGTTTTCTGTCTTTTACTAGTATAAATAATGCCTCAATAAAAACTGTGTCCATATGTCACTTCATATTTTGGTCAATATATATATTAAAAAAAATTTTTTGAAGTAGAGTTGGTTTACAATGTTGTATTATTTTCAGGTATACAGCAAAATGATTCTATATATATGTACATGTATACACACATAACTGTGTTATATATAACTGTGTTACATATGTTCAGATTCTTTTCCCTTATAGGTTATTACAAAATTTTGAGTATAGTTCCCCATAAATATATCTTTGAGACAGAGTCCTAGAATTAGGAAAGTTAGATCAAAAGGTGATGCATATACATAATAAATATATACATGTTAAATAAATAAATACAGAGATAAAGAGGGAGAGGCAGGGAGTCAAAGGGAGAGAACACGGAAAATTCATGCCTGGTGTCCGAGACATTGCTCTTCTAGAAGAAGATAACCTCATTATAAAGAACAGATACCATGGTGGGTTGCAAACAGACAGCTAAGGAAGGGGCATTGTCTATGTTGTTAAGAGGACTGCTAACAAGACACAGTAGAGGAGTCACTGAGAAGACATCAAATCTACCATGACCAAGAACACCAGTACCAGACCATGTTGTCACTGGTGACTAAGACCTGGCTCAGTTGTGGGTTGTGGTCTTTAATGTTTACCAATTTCCTTTCATGCCACTTGCCCATGACTGTGCCCTTAGTCACTGCTGGTAAGAGTTGAGTGTACCTTTGCCCAGCTTGATGAAAGAGAAACGAAACTCATGCCTCTAAGCAAAGTTGAACATGATGTAACAAGAACCATAAAAAGAAAAGGTGAGCAGCATCCATCCTACCAAGCATGTTCAATGGTCCCTTTGAAAGGCGGGACCAGCAAGAATGAAATGGATGCTTTAAGACACAACCTAAGGAATCTGATGAAGTCTGGACCTGGTGAATAAGTGCAGCTGTCTGCACTTAGAATAAATGGGTTACTCACGTGTCCAGTTCTTTGGGGATGCCCCTGACACTGAGGTCCAGGCAGACTTTGTTGAGGATGTCCTTAGGCTGCACAGATCCGAGGGTGACATAGGTGGTGTTCCTGTTCTTCATTATGGCACTGGCAGCTGCACACGGTATGTTGACAAAGGGAGACAGGGACATGATGATGAAGATGGGGACAGAGCGGATAAGCTTTTCCATAAAGGTCCAGGAGGCCGAATCGATAAACTGGCCCTCATCAATGATGAAAATAATCCTTTCCTCTTTCACTGTCTAAACAAGGTGAAGAAATAGAAAGAAAAATGCTGTAGGACTTCAGGGATTTTTTGCTTTTGTTTTTTGGCAACACCCCCAGACTTGTGGGATCCCAGTTCCCCAACAAGGGACTGAACTTGGGCCACAGCAGTGGAAGCACTGAATCCTAGTTAGACCACCAGGGAACTCCCATGACTTCATTTTTTTTGTACATATGTATGGGAATACATGTGTTTCCACTGAGTTCTGCAAAGCTAAGTTAAATCTTTTCTTTCCAGTATCTCTGTGATAATTTAGGTTCTGCTAACTTTGAATCTGTGACCATTGGGACTAAACTGGCTAGAAGAGACTCATACTTGGTCAGATCTTTGTGACAAGATAATGTATAGGATAGATGGGTTGTAGTCAAGTTAAACACCCATTACATAAAAATAACTGAGATTTACTTCAAGTCATTCTAATTTATTGAAAAATGAAGGTCTCCTGGAAATACCTATTTGACATGTATTCAGCCAACATCTATTCAACACGTCTTTACCAGGCACTCACTGGGCTGGGTGCTGGAGGCAAAGTGCTGAGAGGAATTGATCTGGTCTTTGCCCTGCCAGCAGTTTATGCTGTTCCAGCTTGAATTACAGCACGTTACACTTAAAAACAGACCAGGTGTCCTCTTTGTGTGTAGACTGCTTTTCCCTGACTAGTCTGAATTATTTATTTACTCATTAAGCACTTACCGTGCATCCCTTAGTGTCAGGTGCTGTTCTAAGCACTGGGGATACAGTATTAGACAAAACAGAGAGTTTACATTTTAGTGTGAGCCCTTGTATAGTGGGCTCTATATTTCCATAGTGTAAGATATCTAAATGGAGAAAACTTTTCCCATTCTTACTGCTCCAGACTGCTCTTGGCTTCTTTTGGTTCCCTCTGAGAAGCGATTGTTAAGCCATTCTTTCTCTGTGTATGTTTTTATAAACCAAAGCAGTAAAGGGTAATTTCAAATTTCAGAAGACGATCATTCTAAAGTATTATATAGCCTGTCTTATCACATACACATAGTGAGTCTCCTCTTCCAGCCTCATTCTGTCACCAGATCGTAAGCTCTTCACTGACTCTGAGAACATTTTAACGAATAGGGATGAGCATCCCATTGTTTTGTTTTGTATTTGACTAAAATCTTTAAAACTATGGGCAGATGGGAATGTGAGTTTTAGTCATAGAATGGTCTTATCAGTGAATTATTTGTGAATTGAGAGTAAAGCAAGAACCAAAAACCCACATGAATTCAATAGTACATCATTAGCCCCAGCTTCCATAGGTTTAAAATAAGAAGATTGAAGACTCCCCGGTGGTCCAGCAGCTAAGAGGCTCTGCTCCCAATGCAAGGGGCCCAGGTTTGATCCTTGGTCAAGGAACTAGATCCCACATGCCACAACTATAAGATCTTGCATGCCGCAATGAAGACTGAAGATCCTGTGTGCTGCAACTAAGACACAGAATAGCCAAATAAATTAAAAAAAAAATTTTTTTTTTAAATAGATTGAATTGGGTCATCTCTAATATGAATAAAAGCCAACATTTACACTGTACCTATTATGTTCCCAGCACTGTGTGATGCACTTCCATAAATTAACTCATTTTAAATCTTCATAATGTTTACAGAGGTGGCACTATTGAATCTATTTATTGAGAAAAATAAAGCCACTTGCCCAAGATCACACTGATAGTAAGTGATCCAAAGATTGTCATCATAGCACTGAGTCAAAGCACAGGTTTAGTCACAGTTTCCAACTAGATTCGGATCAGAATCACTGAGGAATTTTAAAGTAAACACAAATTAAACAGATTCCTAGGCCCAAATCAAGCCTTTTTCAATTTCAGGTAGAACTTGTAAATACATATATTTTATCAAGCTTCCTGGATATTTGTGATGCAAACAGTCCTCAAAATCTGACATTTAGAAATTATTGATATAGCCTTATTTGCCTTCAGTGGAGAAGAAGGAAGTTCTATTGTACATTTATTGCCACAAACTTGAATTGTTTATTATGTGCCAAACATTCTTCTGGGCAATAGTGATACAAAAATGAAAAAGAGGCTCCCTCTCCTTAAGAAGTTCACAATCTCCTGAAGGAGAGAGACACAGATTTAAGTAGCAAATTGCAGTACAGTGTGGGAAACATAATAAGAGATATGTTCACAGTGTTACAGAAGCACAGTGGTAGTAGTCATGCCTTGTGACTTGGGGGAGTTCTCACGAAGAGGTAACACTGAACGATGAGTAGCATTTCTCCAAGGTTGGCTTTTATCTCATTAGTACTGAGAATTGTTTGACTAGCATAAAGCAAAGGCTGGAGCAGTTTGCATACGCTCTGGCAGTTATGTGGAAGATGAGCTGCAGTGGAGAGGTATGCGGCACAGAGACTGGCTGGAAAGCTACAGTAACAGAAGAGAGAGAGCCGGAGCCACACTGGGGAGCGCAGGGTGGACGGGTTCTAGAGTCGGTCCTAGCAGACATGGGGGACTTGGCAACTGAGTCGATGCAGAAGATTTGGCAGATAGGAAAGTAGCAAAGATAACTTGAATGATGTGTGAATGAACTCGTTACTCACTAAATCAAAGGTCAGGATCAGGAAGATAGGATACTGAAGTAGGGGAAAAAATGAATTTAGTATTAGACACTGAACTGAGTATGATTCCCCATATCCAAGTAGAATACACAGAAGGTTCTTGGAAATATGGTTCTGGTGCTTATAAGAGAGCTAGGGAATGGGATATAAAGTTGGTGATCAACTGCATATAATGGACAGTCATGATATTACTCAGAGAGGAAAAAGTTAACATTGATTGAGTGGCTTCAATGAAAGAGACTCTATTCTAAGTGTTTTACACATAATTTAGTCATTTAAACCTTACAACCCTGTGAGCTGGGTACTATTATTTCTTCGCTTTATAGAAAATAATGTAAAAGCATGCACAGGTTGAGTCATTTGATCGAGCTTACCTAGGTAGCAAATGATAGGCCTAAGGGCGCAAGCTCTTGTAGTCTGACTACAGAGCCTGTATACATAACTGGTTTGATAGATCACTTCTTATACAGAGGGAGGAAAAAAAGAGGACTGGTTTTAAGAAGAGGCCAAACTCCCAGGAGTAATGTGAAAGAACTTCTTTCAAATACAGCTAAATTCTGAATAGACTCTCACCTTGGGGTTTCGAAGGACGGAGGACAATGAAACACTTTGGGTTAAAGCTTTCACATAATTCACAGCTTCTTGTCATTGGAATCTGAACTCTAGAGGCAACCTGGCTTTGTGGTGAGATGCCCAGTTTCTCCCCTCCCCCCATTACTTGACCCACAGATGCTCTTACTTGCTCCAAGATCTTCATAAACAACGCCTCCAACTGCTTTTGTTTTCTCAAGGTGCTCATCTTGGAAACCTCTCGTGAAATAGGGAACTATATAAAAAATTATAAGAATATTGAGTATTGGAAAATAGCAGAGGGAACTACTAGTTGTATGTCTTTGGCTGTTCACTTTACTGTTCTGTGCCTTAAAATCCTCGTATGTTAGATAATTCATAACATCTCTTCCAGCTCTATGTCATTGAATCTAATAGATAGGAGAAAAAATAGGGCACACTCTTATCTTTGCATTGGCAATCACCTCTGGGAGCAGAGGGATTTTGTGCCCTTGACTAGCTAATATAGTATACCTAGGATGAGAAGGTGAGAAGAAAAAATGAATCAGCAGGTGGTTATTTGGATTTTCTTGAGTCTGGTACCAATGTATCTTAGGAAGGTGGGTGCTCATTTAAGGATTGGGAGCCATTTCCTTACCACCTTGGATGCCCTAGATGAGAAAAAAAAGTATCATGAAAACCAAAGAGATGCAGTGTCATAAAGCATGATGGAGGGGTGGCCTCACCTGTCCCTTCACAATTTCTCATAGGAGTCTAACACCAGCTCGTTACCTGCACATGGAAAATGTCATTAAGAAGACAATGGAACTTTTCATCCAACAGTGACTTGACTTTATTTTGAAGGTTACTCTGTCGTTCTTTATAATGTTTGCAAGTATCCAGACCTAGTACATTGGCCATGAGTATCTGGATGGTATAAAAATTTTGATTGAAGCTGATTTTAGTCAACGCAATAGCAATAGTCCTGTTTATAAGAAAGTCAGGAATCAGAGAGAGTTTCTAAAAATATTTTTTGGGAAGGGGGGAAATTTGGACACAGACAACACACATGGAGAACATCATGTGAAAATGGAGGCAGAGATTGGGGTAGTGCTTCCACAAGCCAACGAATACCAGTGACACCAGCAAGCCACCAGAAGCTATGAAAGGGACAAAATAGATTGTCCCTCACAGCTGATGGAAGGAACCAACTTTCCAACACCAGGATCTTAGACTTCTATCCTCCTATACACAGAGACAATATACTTCTGTTGTTTAAGCCATCTAGTTTGCGGTGCTTTGTCATGGTAGCTCTAGCAAACTAATACAGCACTTGGGTACTATAAGTACTCAGTAAGTGATGGAATAAATAAAACGTCTTCTGGTTATTTTGACTTATTCCTTCATCAATGTTAAATAAATTTAAAAACTAGCCTCTCTCAGGCCTGACATTTGAAGAGAGTAGAAACACAGCCAAAACTAAAACTAATAAGAATTCTCCCCTTAAAGCCTTTATGTTAGATGGTGAAAGGATGTGTGACACAATTACCATTGTCTTGGTTATCATCACTGTTATTGAATACCACACTGTTCACCTCCATGAGATAGGCTGTCCCAAAGACAGCCCTCATGACATTCCTTATATGAAAAGAGACAAATAGCAAGAGGTAAGTACATTAGCTCTGCCTTTCAAAGGAAAATTCAGAGGCCTTCCATTCTCTAACCACATTCTCAGGGCTCAATGGTTTGAACTAGCGATTCCCTGTCAGCTACAGGATAAACTTATGTATTTGCTTCAGACCAAATCTAGCTTTGGTTTCAGCATCTACCAGTTGTTCTCAAACGGTCTGAGCATTAGGAAACTTAAAATATCAATATCCAAGCCCCTCCAGGCATTAAATTAGGATCTCAAGGGGTCAACCCAGCTTTTTATTTTCTCACTTCAATGTGTTTCTCATTAATTACTTATTTAGCATAAGGGGCATGATACCCAATAATAACTGATAGATTGTGAGTAGTTTATAAGAGGCAACCTATATAAAGGAGAGGAACATTAAAACAAATAAAATTCTTAAGGATGTCAGGATTCTCTGGATCCACAAAAAAAGTGGTCATTGCAAGACACTCACCTGTGGTTCTCACCTTGGGCCAGGTACTCAATTTCCACAAGAATCTGACTTTTTCCATATCCTGATACTCCTTCATACATCAGGACTTGACTGCAGTTAGACATCAAAAATTTTTTCATAGTACACATGAAGTATTTGATCTCCTCCTCACGTCCTGTTATTTTTGTTTTTCAAAAAGGGAGCAAACCCAATCAACATAAAATTGTCTAGAGATATAAAAAAGCACACAGTGATACTGCTTCTAAGAATACCCTTGGAATTTCCATGGCATTGTTCATGGAGTTTCTTGAGGTCCTGTGCACTTTAAAATTTTTAAAAAATCTTCAGCTAGAACTTTACAGTTAGTAATGTGGTTTTACAGGGGTTTTTTTTGTTTTGTTTTGTTTTGTTTCTTTGATGCCCATAAGCTGTGAGGGAAAGGATTCTTATTATGTTCACTGTGATGTCAATTTAATTTAGTGTAGCAAACTGAGATTTGCTTAGAATATACAACCAGGAATTAAATCAGGGTTATCTGACCCTAATGCTTGTTTTCTTTTCCTTTTTCTCTTTTTTCTATAACACATTAGAAGTAACTACAGCATATTACGTTAAGAAATCAATTTATAAAGTTAAGGTTCTCATGTTTTACAGGATGGATAAAATATTTTTACTTTTAATTCTGTGAAGGAAACTTACTCTTTGTAAATGAGAAACTACACTTATCTCAGGGCTACAAGAAGAGTTACCAGTGATAAAAAAAATTCAACCTGTTTTTTAAAAAAACCTCATATATATGATTAATCATAAGAACAACATAAATTCTTAAAAATAAACTATACCCTTTTTTTGATTATAAAACTAACATAAGCTCACTGTAGAAAATATAGAAAAATTAGAAAATGAAAATGAGTCACCTTGGGTTACAACCCTATCATCCTTATTTTTCTTATATTTTTAAATATGAATAACAGGATACCCTGACTGAAATCTCAAACTCAGCCTACCATCTTTGAAACCTCGGTGGACGGAAGGAGTAGCAGAAATGCATGGCTGTTGTTCAGTTGCGCAGTCGTGTCTGATTCTTTGTGATCCCACGGACTGCAGCATACCAGGCTTGCCTGTCCATCACCAACTTCTGTAGCTTGCTCAAACTCAAGTCCGTCAAGTCGATGATGCCATCCAATCATTTCATCCTCTGTCATCCCCTTCTCCTCCTGCCTTCAATCCTTCCCAGCATCGGGGTCTTTTTCTAATGAGTCAGTTCTTTTCATCAGGTGGCGAAGCTGATGGAGCTTCAGCTTCAGCATCAGTCCTTCCAATGACTTTTTAGGATTGACGTCCTTTAGGATTGACTGCTTTGATCTCCTTGCAGTCCAAGGGACTCTCAAGAGTCTTCTCCAACTCCAGACTTCAAAAGCATTAATTCTTCAGCACTCAGCCTTCTTTATGGTCCAGCTCTCGCATTCATACATGACCACTGGAAAAACCATAGCCTTGACTAGACAGAACTTGGTTGGCAAAGTAATGTCTCTGCTATTTAATATATTGTCTAGGTTGCTCATAGCTTTTCTTCCAAGAGGCAAGCATCTTTTAATTTCATGGCTACAGTCACCATCTCCAGTGATTTTGGAGCCCAAAAAATAAAGTCTGTCACTGTTTCCATTGCTTCCCCATCTACTTGCCATGAAGTGATGGGACTGGATGCCATGATCTTAAGTTTTTGAATG